AACCCTCCATGGCCTTGCTCCCCCCTACAAACCTGCCCCTCCCTCCACTCAGCGAGCTACGGCCCGCTTCACGTTCCCAATGCCTCGCTCGCCCCACCATTCGTGGGCGAGCCTTCTGCCACTCTGCCACCACCCTCTGGAACTCCGTTCCGCAATCCCTCCGCCTTGCCACCTTCAAGACCCAGGTCAAGAACCTCCTCTTCGACCGTGCCTTCGGTCACCCTCCTTCTGCCCTCCACCGTCCCCGATCCCAACCCTAGCTCGGGTCCAAAACACATTGTCCAACGCCTTGGGACCTCCTCCTGACGTGAAAGGCGCTATACAAATGTAATTTTGTTGTATTAAAGGAAATAGTCTTACATGCCAACAGATGGCACTGGTGCACTTTGTAAATACATTTGTGACACCCTCAAATGAGAAAAAGTTTGTCTTTAAGTACAGTTATATTTAAAAGTTGGGCAAGTCAGTTAGTTGAGGCCAGGATGCTAGTTTGTGTAAAAACAGGTTCATGCTGTTATGGGAGGATGAAAGGGTGGGTATTTCTTATTATTAATAATAAATGATAATTTATTATTAATAATGATCCTTACATTTGGTGTAGAGCCTTATACCTTGGGAGGATATCCCAAAGATCGTATTTTGGAAGGATGAGATCAAATTGGCCAAAGGGCCTTTTTTATCTGAACTTGTTTTGTGATCTTGTAATTAAAATAATTCTGGGAGGCTTCATTCAGTTGGAGGCCTCTTTTAATTTACCTTATTTTAGCAAACCCTCTATGAGCATGCCAGGTCTTGGAAATGTAGCTATTCCAAACAACACATTGTAAAGACCATATTATACCCTAATCCGTAATCTGCAATGTATTTTTAAAAAAATTAAAACTGTGTATGACCAGAATAAAATTTATTCGAATGTGTGTTTGGCATCAGTGCAAATATTCCAATCATTATTATAGAGAATTTTAAAATAATGTACTCAGCTCTTTTTAATAGGAATATAGCAACATGAAGAGGACATTCAGTCTATCAAGCCTATTCCAACATATTTAAATAGGTTATGGCATTTTTAAATCTCATTTCTCTGCCTTTTTCTCTACATATTTTAATGACTACTTTCCAAATATTCCGCTATACTTATTTAGTTGTCTAAGTTGTAAAGTTCACTGACATAGAATTGCTTTAAGGTGTCATGAAGGGAATAGACTATTTCAGTTAACTGTTAATTTATAAAAAAGATATGACCGGTCCATTAACTTGTTTGAATCCTCTACAAAAATCACTGCAAACCTTTACGTGAGATCCACAAAGGGTTGTACAATCTTCTGAAGATCAGTTGAGATTAAAAATTAATTATCAACAACATAATCCCTTCAAGATGTTTATTATCATTTGATGAATTTGTTACAACGTTCAATGTGAATAGCTGTGATTTTCAAATGTTTTTGTAACTAGGATTAAGTTTTGATTAAATTAGAGCTTTGAGAGGGGCTAGCATTCTGAACTATCCATTACGATCTTATTGAAAAATAATTTCTATTTGGTTAAATACATTTTAATAAATGCAGAAACTGAATAATTAATGTGTACTATTTTAAAGGTAAGATGTTTGCTGAAATTCCAAAGAGTATACTGTTAGTATGTTTTTATCACGTTCTTAATAAAGTCAGTTCATAATCTGAAAAATATTTCTAAATTTTTCAAAATTGCGATTTTGTGAATAGTCGAAATCCTTAAAAGTCAGGTACCTTTACTCGTTTTTGTTTTTAAAAATCAAGTTAAGATGTTTTTAATACTTTGTTACAGCAGAATTTGATAGTTTATGAATGTATTGTTATAAACTGTTAAATGAACTACAATATTTTAAATTCATTTATAGACTACTTGTAATACAAATACTAAAGACAATTAAATATTAAAGAGTATTAACACTGAAATAAAACTAGAAATTGAGCATTTTTACAGATGGCATTATCAGGCCCAGAATCCAAATAATAGGCATTGTTTACGAACTGAATCACTGCCAGCCATTTTAATGATAGTGCCTGGCTATTATGCTGAACATAGTTAATAGTGTAATAATGTTTTCTGAAGAGTGTTAAACTCAAAACTATTGTAATAGAAACAGTACAGCCTGTCACTAAAATTGTGACCTTATGGCTATGCCATTTTATGTTTTGACTCAAAATAACCTCATGAAGATTAGAATTGGATAAGATCATTGCATTGGATTGACATTTCAATGAAAATTTAGTAGCTATGTTAATTTCATTTCAAGGTTGTCATGTTTATTTTTTTTCCCGTACACTTCTGTTGTAATGTATGACAAGAATTGCATTTGGAGCTGGTTTTAAAGGTAACTTTTAAAAATTAGATTGTAAAAGGAGGGAAAAAGTAACTTATTTTTCCCCGACCAATAATTGGCTATAAATGTAAAGAAGGCATTTTGCAGGAAAAGTTTATGCATCTGTATTTTTAATTTGAATTAATCAATTCATTTTACATATGTCAAGCAGCTTCGCATTGGCTTGTGCTCAGAATGGAAACTTTATCCATTTACAAGCATTTTATACCTGGTTTTATACTCGTGGACTCGATGCACGTTGAACTCTTTGGTGATACTCTAGACATTACTTTCACCAGTAAATCATTTCAGAGCAGTTGCGTTTAGATTTCCCATTCTCAATTGCTCTTATGAGGGTGGGAGACGAGGAATACTCTTCATGTGGGCTATTTACAGAATTCTGCACTTTATTTTTTTTAGTAGTGATGATATGTTAGCTGTACAAATCAATATTCTGTTGAATCCACCTTCAAGGTTGGATCAGCAGCCAGGCTCCAAAACAAATTTTAACGTTGGACCTGATTTATAGTGTTTTTGTAATGATGCTTCACATCAAATTTCCATAAAAGCCACAGTATGAAATGGGCATAAAACAGATGTCCAGGGTGGATGGAACACATTTTAGATGCACTGAAAATTGTAGTAACTTGTGATTATTAAATGACCTTCAGTTTAAGAAAACCTACCTCGGCATAGTTTGGTTTTGTTTCAGGACACTTTAAATAAAGACCTCAACATTACCCCATTCTAGAACATATTAGAATTGATAAGACTGACTAAAAATTTGTGCCACAGTAAACCTCACGATTAGTCTGTTTGAAAACCTTGGATCCAAATGTAAATACTTTACTGAAAATATCACGTGTGTTGCATCAAAACAGAATCTCTTCTATTGGAGAATTTACAATATCCCTAATTGGATATTTAGGTGAAATGGTTTTCACTGAAAGAATGTTTTAAAGAGATTAAAATTGGGCATTGAAAATGTTAAATGGATACTGGTTGGGGTCTAATAGCTGGAATAGTTAATTATAAAATATCTGGCTGTGGACTAAAGAATTACATATTGAGAATATACAATATAGGTTGGCATTTTGTTCTGTGGTCTAATGTGGTTATCATTTATAAGGTGCTTCACTATTCTCAAGATAGCTGTTGTTTATTTGAAGTTATGTTAATGTATTAACTTTCAACATTTCAACAATAAAAAAAACTTAAGAAGAAAAGGATCACACTAATCTTGAGATTTTTTTTAAATGACTGGTTTACTAAATGTTATGCTTTTTCTGGCCAAACTCAAAACACTAACTGATTTCACTCGTGATTATAGTTGGTTAAGCAAAATGTCTAAGGCTTATCTATCAATGCAAACCCTTACAACTGTGCTATTTATTTATGTCATTTGGTCAGTTTTGATTCTTAATTTTAATGTCATCACATTTTATTATTTCATAGATTAGATCACCAAATTGAATTGAATGCATTTGCAATTTTTTAGGTGCTAATTATTTTTTCAGTGACCTGAAAAAATTATGGCTTCATGCAGCTTTATATTTCAACTTGGTCTTAAAAGCACCTGAACATAATGAAGATTGGTATTAGCGGAATTAATTTGCAATCTTGTGACATAACAAGAAGTCACGTTTTGTTTCAAGAAAAATCCTTCTGTAGAGGTATATCCTCATATTCTGTCCCCTCCCCCATGGTGATAGAAACATTTGAGAATTACTTGAGCATACAGCACCTATAGAAGGAATCTAGTCCGTTACTATATTTGGCTTCAGGATGTAAAAGGCTTGCATTACAGATAGAAATTGCCAAGCTCTATTCACTTAAGATTTTGTATTTGAACTTGTTTCAATGTTTAACCAACAATTAGAATGTTAAGCGGCCGGCCCGCTGATTTTTTGTTAATTCTTTTTGTGACTAGAGAATTTCCTAAGAAAAAAAACTTTCTATGTATATCGGATAGTTTGGCATTTGTGTTTTATATTAATATTCTGTTTGTCACTTAATGGTCTTGTGTATTACATCATTGGAGTAAATATTGTAGTTATAGCTTCTCTTTTCATAAATTGTATTGTGCCAAAAATAAGTGTTTGGTGTAACTAGCAGAATTTGTTAATGAAATAAATCTGGTTGTTACGATTTACAATTACCAATTAAACAGAATTACTTCAATTTATGATGGAATTAATAATCCTTGCATTTGATATTGTGCTTTACGTCATCGGTCTCAAAACGCTTCACAGGATATACTACTGTAAAATGGTATTTTGTGGGTGAAACATGGCAACCAAGTTGCACACGCAATAGCGCCCTTCATAAGGGGCATCTTCGAGTGCTTAACAGTGGAGGAGCCTGACACCAAGCTGGGGGAGGTGACTAAGCGTGGTCGAAGAGGAAAGGCTTTAGGTGTGATCTGAAAATGGGGGATGAAGGAGAGTCCATGGAGAGAAACTGAATGAGTGATCAATTTTATTTGGGGGATTTATTTGTTACTCCAGCACTAGAATAGCTTTCCTCCTTTTGTTGTGTACCAGGCAGTTTTTAACTAATCAAATGCTTACATTGAATTTGGGATTTTTAACCAGCAACATAAGCAATCTGAAATAAGCAGTTATTCCAGCCTCATGCAGTTCTAATAAAACCCACATTCTAGAGTTGGATATGTTTATTCTCTGGACTGTATTAAATGGCAGCTTATTCCCATATTTAGGCAGCACGTTCTGCATATAGTCAACAAATGTGAATTCATAGCTCACGTAAACAAACCAGGAATTCAAAGTTTTATCTCTGTACCCTGTACATTTCTTTTGGGATTTTGATGTCACTACTCTGAAGTGCTTGTTTAAATACACTGTCATCTGTAAACTCAGGGAAGTTTGACAACATTTACTGTAGAAGCACTGAAGTTAAAACACAAACTAAAACAGTAACATCAATGGTATTTAATTACTACAAATCAGGTAGAGGCACCTCTTCAATAATATTAATTAGCTGCAATAACAGTTAATACAACTTTTTGGGATAAAACTCATTTAAAGAAGTAGCAGATGTCTCGATGTTTCATTCATTGAAATGGAAAATGTCTTGAAAAATATGTACAAGTCTAATTCTATCTTGAGCTTGCTTTGATTCTCTTAATATCACGATCACTAAGAACCAGTGCCCCATTTTTAAATCTTCCAACTTGACCAGTTGGTACTACGTCAGTCTTCCTTTTGGTCCTCCTATGGAAACAAAATCAATTTTTAAAGTCAATTCTTCATGCAATATGATGCATAAGTTTACCACAGGTTAATCATCATTTACTTATTGAAGTTCTCTTGTAGTAGGTTAGTGAAATGCTGATGTTGCAGAATGGCTGAAATAAAAATGTAAGCAGTTCTGCATCTAATTAATTAATCTAATTACAGTAGCTACCAAATTAGCAAAGGGTTGGCTTCAGTGGACTGAATAGCTTTTCTCATCCTGACTTGTGTTCCTGATTCAGCTTTAATACACATCATAGAAATAAATGAAGATAATGTAGATATTAAAGGCAAGGTTCAATTCAGTTCTGATTGCAAGCTGAAATTACCAATCATTGGTAAAGTTTGAGTCCAACAAACCACAGCTATTGCAGTCCAAAGCTTAACCGGATTTTCAAGATTGGGCACAATATGCAGGTAATCCAATCAATATATAGGATGCAAACGTTTCTGGATGTATACAAATTGTTTTATAACAAGAATTAAAATTCTTTACTGGAAGATGCTGAGCAAGAGATTTTCATTGCTCAAAGGGAAGGTGAAAAGGGGGCAAATCAGCTTGGACACCCTTGTGCATTTACCAGGAGCTCAGGAATGGCACTGATGATTTCTGGTACTCTGCCAGGCAATGGTTGATAATAATCCTTTCATTAGATATAGCACCTTATCACTTCATTCAGACATCTCAAAGCACTTCCACAGGTTATACTGTAAAGTGGATTGACTGTACTTTGTGGGTGAAACACAGCAGCTAGATGCACACAGCAATGTCCCACAAACAGATTCAAATGCAATGAGATCTAAGAGGGTATAGGAATACTTTCTTTCAAAATTTTAAATATTAGGAATGAAACCAAGTCTGTGTTCAGATTAAAATGATCCAATAATAGTTTAGAGTAACTACTTTTCAGAAGATATTTCAGAATGTGACTTACAAATCTAAATTGGTTGATTTTTTTCTTAAAAACTCAATTTGTTTCCAACAAATGATAGTAGACTTTCCTTTGCAGTGATTGTAAATAAGACTTAAAATAGGATTTTATATATCTTTCTCTGAAGAAAGGGAAAATGTTTCACTGCAGATTATAAAAATAAGTGTGGTTTGTGGATCACAAATAGCAACTTGGTGAGTTCCACAAAAAAACTAGAACATAACAATATTTCAGCTGTTAATATTGACTGTTCTTTAGTTAAAAAAAACTTTAGGTAGAATTTTTAGCGACAATTACAACAAAATTAACATATCTAGATAAAACACTAAATTCCCCCAATAATTGCTCACCTTTCTGTTTTTTTCTTTTTCTTCGATTGTGGCAAATTTGGGTTCTAAAGTACAACAACAACAAAATTACATTTGTAAAGCACCTTTCATGTCAGGAGGCGCTGGACAGACGTTATGGACCCGAGCTGGGGGAGGGTGGGGGGGAAGCAGGGTGATCGAAAGTGCAGTTGAAGGTGGCGATGGAGGGACTGCGGGATGGAGTTCCAGAGGGTGGGTGCAGAGAGGCGGAAGGCCCGCCAATAGTGGGGCAAGCAAGGAGGGGGACGTGAAGCAGGCCGGAGCCCGCTGAGCAGAGGGGAAACAAATTCAGCAAAAGTTTACAAAGAAATGCTCCAAACATTTAAATGCATAAAATGCACTTGCCTGAAGGCTGAACCCGACCAACAAAGAATATTATGAGAGAACAACGAGTTTTGACAATTAGAATCTGATGCATGTACAGCAAGGGAACAAATGTTTTGCAAGCTTGAAAACATTTTATAATGCAAAGATAAAACATTTTATACTGCTGTGTATAAAGGTTATGTGATCTGATGATTTCATCATCATTAATCAGGAAGAAGTAATGATTTAATATTCTTGGTAGGTTTTAAGATTTCAAAGCACATTTCTTAGACTTCAGTATACATCTTCGACCAGCTCCTGTTACTTTACAAGCATCAGGATTTATACAATGTAATCTGTAAATCCAGAATCAGATTCAGCAAATATCCTTGAATAAAAGAAAAACTTCAAAAAGGCGCAAAACACTAACCATTTTCATTTCTTGTTCTGCAATTGCCTTCTTTTTGATGAATTCTTGGTAATCCTTGTAATTCACGTATTCACGTTTTGGGGGCTAAAAATGAAACAAACCAGATGCAAACAGTAGTTTTGTAAGAACTGGATTGTGAACTTCCGCTCAGCATTTGTAGCACTGCGCTTAAAATTAGCAAATTTCCAATAGATTGTTAACTTCCAGCAATCCCTTCATGTTACCATTCAAACACATATTTATCCCCAGTACCACTCATCATCTCTTTTCCCTGTGTTCCCCTTTTCCTGGCAGTTCCTGACTGAAGGGACATATAGATAACAAGTTTTGTTTCTTATGCTGGAATGCCTGAATCTATATCCTCTTATCCCACAATACCTTGGCAATATTTGAAAGATTTCATTTGATCTCATTAAGTATCTAATATACTTTTGCAAGCCCCCGCTTAGACACCTTTTTTTAATTCTGAGGAGCCTTATCTTAGTAGTTGTTTTATCGCTTCAACAAGGATCAGACTTCAGACTCAGGAGCATAAATGTCTTCTGCAGTTCCTTTACAGCCTGGCAACCAGAACTGTATCCAGTACACCAGGTAAGGGCTGGCCAGAGCACTGTATAATTAGGGGATTTTGACATTTACTTTTGGTCAGTCAGGTGTCTCTCACCTGCAAGAGATCAACCCAGGGATTTACACTTTATGGACTATTTGAAAAAGGAAGGAATTTCTGTCAGCAACCAAAGACTGATTCCACAGTAAGATTCTTCCAGTATTGACTGCTCAATTAAAATTTCTGACAGTGCTTCACAAATCTCTCTTCAAATACAGAAATACAGATCATCTGCCCCAAGGCAACTATTTGCTTCCAGTCCCTTGAGTCTGTTGAGAGCTTCTGTCTTGCTCATGTTGAATTCCAGAATTCACAGGATACATGTGGTGTTTGTGGCATGTTTTATTGCCCTCTATGGTTAAAAACTTCCAAGAAATAGTTAATACATTTACTCTCTCGTTTATCTTTTGCAACATCCTTTAGGTCCCCTAAGATTTTAACTACTTTCCAAATACCTTACAATCCTTACATTTGATATACTGCCTTATCGTACTGATGAAATGTTTCAAAGCACTTCAAAGAATTTTAATGTGAAGATGTAGTGAGTGTCTATTTGTAGGCGAATGCGCCATAGAATTTGCACACAGCAATGGCCCACAAACAGCCACAAAATGAGTGACCAATTTTATTTGGGGAATTGTTGGCCTGCAAACCGAGAGAAATTCCTTATTTTTCCCCAACTGGAGTTGAATCCTGTAGCTTAGTGGTTAGAGGACTCGCCTCGCAAGCAAGAGGACCCGGGTTCGATTCCCGACAGGGCGAAATGTTGGGCAAGTTTCCTTACTCCACACACCTGTTTACTAAGCAGTAAGTAGGAACCCGGTTGTTAGTCGACTGTCGGATCGCTTTTCCAGGGGAAATAATCCCTTTTAAAAAAAAATTAATAATTTCGTCACTCAATCCACATTGTTTGTGGGATACGCTGTGTGCAATTGGTTGCCACGTTTCCCCAGAAAATATACAGTCAATTCACTTTACAGTATATTCTGTGAAGCGATTTGAGACATGTAAGAAGATGTGATAAGGCGCTATATATCAAATGGAAGGATTATTAATTGGTCCCATGGAATCTTTAACTGGCACCTGAACAAATAGGGATCTTGGTTTAACGCTTCATCCAAATGACACCACCACCACCAATGCAACACAATCCCAGCACTCCATTCGAGTGTCAGAGTTGAAAGCCCTTACGTGGGGCCTGGAAACACAACCTTCTGATTCAGAGGTGAGAGTGCTGCCAACTAAGCCAGATGGACACACAATGGGTTCTTACTATTGAAATACTGAAAGAATATTTTGTAATACTATAATGAAATTTACTACTGTTATAATATGACATACCTTAGCACCAAGCATAATAGCTCGTTCCTTTTCAAACACTCTTTGCTCTTCCTTTTTGTAGCCTGTGATACCAAACCTGTGCACTTCCAGACGAGTCTGTAAGTGGAAATGGCTGAACAGTAAGACTGAACTTTCTTTGACGCCTATATACTATATATCATAAACATCCATTTACAGTTACTTAGCTTGTTAAATTAAAATGTGTATTAGAACAGAAAGCTGCCTATTATAATACAATAGCATAATGGAAACACAAAAATATTAACCAATTCAGAGAAGTACCATATGAGGGCTGGAACCCATCACTTCAATGGCTTCTACCACAGGTACAAATAGAACACTGTTTATAGTACAAGGACTAAGTACCCTTTATAAAAACTTTTGGGTCTATTTTCATACTGCAAGAGAATCTCAGAATTTTACAGTAGAGGCGTTTTGAAACATCTTGTCTATGCTCCCTAAAAACAGCCAATCATTTAGACCTACCCTTTGCCATTACCTTTCAGTATTTCTCTAATTCACCTATAAACTATTATGGATTCTGCTTCAATCACTATTTTTAGCTGGGCATTCTGTGTTCTAATAACTCTGTAATTATAAATTTGATTTTTTTGGCAATGATCTTACATCAGTAATTTTTTGATTTACAATTAAAAACAAACTTTCTAATAACCAATATAGTTAGTCTCTTAGTGTCCACATTCCTCACATACAGCTGGAAACCTCAATGCAGCTCCCAAGGATTCAAACAACTGCTTGCAGCTGCCATATTTAGTTCGTGGTGAAACATTTTCTCCAAGAAAAAACAGCTGCAGTGTGTACAAAACATAAACTGTCAAGAGACATTATGAACTTCTACGTGGTTGTGCATTCACGTATTTAAGAGTGCAATTTTGTTGATATTCAAAACTTATTTCTATTGAAGTCAAAAATATTCTATATCATGCATCTTTGCATCCAATTACAATAATATCTGTTGAAAGGCAGATAACAATTCAAATATAACACTTAATGAAAGGTGAATATTACACAACAGCTGTATCCATTGAACCTTTAAAACTCATTTGAACTTTTACAGAAAACAATTAGTAATGGAACAGTAAGACTTACCTTCTCCAAATTAAATATTTTTTGTTCCTTATCATTCTGCAGATTAGTTTGTTCCATCTAATTTTAAAAAAATGCACTTTAATTCACTTGTATCAGCACAGTGATATTTTCATCAGACTAGAATGCAGATTGTTTCACTGCTTACTGTCCCCCAATCCCACCGAGTACATTTTAAAATTAAAATTGAGTGGAATAGTTAAATAACATAACATATGGTGACTCTTTTTCACATGGGTAAAAATTCAATCAACCAGTAAATCAGTCATTTACATCCTATTTTACTAACTATAAATACGTAATCATCCCTTTGAAAAAGTCTATAAAATACAAGCCTTTATATGAACAAAAAAATGAAAGAAGCACTTCCAAAATACAAATTTGAAAAAAGGAAAAAAATGACTGATGCCAGATCTTGGCTACTTCACATCAGTTACATTTTGAGGATATCTCCAGCAGACGCATTTTCACTCCTCGATTTGATCCCCATTATACATTAAATCTAGAGTAAAGCATTCTTCATTTCAGTTAAGAGAAATCACAGTCAATTCATCCATCTGTAAAATCAAAAAGGTCAATCACATCTTTAATTTCCCTACATAAATGGCTCCTTCTGAAATAAGATATAACCCAGAGGTTATAGGTTACTTGGATACAAAGGAATATGTCATTGAAGTATGCCATTGAGGCCATCAAACCTCCTCAACCATTTTATTGTAGTTCTTTCTTTCCCAAACAAATTGCCCCACCTTTCCTTCATATTCCTTAGTATCTTGTGTATACATACATGCAACTACATATAGAAATAGTAAATCTCAACAGTTTTTCAAATAAGTGTAAATTCTATTCCTGCTTTTGCATTACAAGTTTGCCTGCATTAGCAAGATCACCTGTTAGCAACCCAATAATGAACAGCAGTCAAATTTCCAGCGACAAATTAGCTAGATCTTTCTCGAGTCAGATCTCCCAACAAGTGTTCTCAATCTTCATGATGAAAAGGGTTGGTGCTAGCAAGAAACATTCAATTGTGTCAGACGAATTACATTTGTCTGAAAATAAACCACTGAGGTTCATTGTCTTGATGGCCACTCTCAAGAAATAAAAGTGGCAATTGCCTAATATTCCTGCCCATCTACCAGTCTATGTTACTTTGTAATGTCGATCAAGATAATAAACTTTTAAAGAGTTTTCACATGCACGATGCAATCACAACACTTATGCTGTGTGTTGTGCCTTTTTCAGCAATGCAAAGGGAAGTGCTTGAATCAAGTGCTTGAAGCAGTGGGTACAGGAAAAAAAGCGCCGAGTGTCAGCACCTCTCCCTCAGTGTTACAATCCATGCTCCAGATTCCATTGCATAAAAGTGGCAAAAGATCTATATTTACAAATACATTTTAGAATTCTGAATGCACTGATTAGCATAATATGAACTAAATAAAGTATTGTTGCGTTTAATCTATCCCTTTTGAGACTAATGAAGCATAATTACTTTTTGATCCTCTTCAGTAACTGGTGGAAGTTTCTTCCTCTTGTTGGAAGGATCTGTAAACGTTACTACTTCGACTTGCCTCTTCTTATTTACAGTAAGATTGCCATTATCAGTGCTTATGTTCTTCGTCTCTGTAGGCATTGCACAATCCCAGGCAGGATTGAGAAGTTCAGCTTGCATCTCTGCAAGGCATTTTGCAGCGCCACGGATGGGTTTTAGGGCTTTCATTGTGAGCATACTATTTGTCCTTGAGAAAATGCTGGTGCAAGGGACCATCTGATTATCTTGGTCAGCAACATCTGAACAAACTATTTTTTCTTCAACCTTCTCTGGTTTGATCTTCTTTGTTTCCTTCTGTTTATTTCATCAATTGCTGCTTCTCCTGCAATAATTTTTAAAAAGGTTAAAAAGGCTCATCTGGATTAATGGGTACAAACTCTTTGGAATTATAAAAGCAACCCCAATTTTACATAAATTTATACCCATTATAAAAATAGTGAGATGTTGTATCTCCAAACTGTTAGTGCTGATATTGGGTAACTCAAACTGAAACAGTAAATTCAATGTAGAAATAATGCAGCTGATATCTTTGGTTTAAATGAATAAGAAAGTCCTCCAACCAAGTTCTTATCTTCATACTACAGCAAAACTCGCACACGTCTTATCTTTATAAATCGTATAATTGCCTAAGTAGTACATTCACCCAAGTACCATTTAGGTTCCTGTCAAGACATTTTAGATTGCTTTGCACTAATCGTATTAATCACCTCTTAACTTGTAACCCCACTGGCTACTCTCCATTACTTCCGCACTTAACAGCTGCCTTAAATCATGGGAAATAATGCCTTGGCCTGTCGACCATGTGGACTTACCAGTTGGCTGCAATGAATCGCGGGGAACATAGACTTGATCTGTTGACGCATTTCCCATGATTCAATGTGATTCCAATGCTTACCAATAAGTGCTCATGGGGTGATGGTCAAAATGACGGGAAAGTTAGTCTTGACCCGTCACCACATGTGCACTTACCGGCTACAGTAATGAACTACAGCATGTGCACTTACTGGCAGCATTAAATTACACATGCGCAGTGCAGATTATTGATTAATATACAGTTTGCTTGCAGTTCGGACTTCGCGCAAATCATATTAAATGTTATGGTCCTGACTAATCCAATTGTGACTTGTAACTTGTTTTACTGTACTCCATACAGTAAGTTTATTTCCCAATCATTGCACCCAAAAATAAGAGTATTGACACCACACAAAACCCACTCAGTCACTGAGTCTAAGCTAACCAGAGTCTGGAAAGATTCTTGCTGCCTGCTAATTTGCTACTCTTTCTCTCGATCCACATCCCTCGACCCCTTGGCCTCCAACCCCAGCTTGAGCCCTTGGACAATCCAGCTCCTTGAGACATCCTCCCGACATGAAAGGCGCTTTACAAATGTAATTTTGTATTGTATCTCTGTGCTTAACAATTTGCAATTCCTGAAAGCTCAAAATAATGGTCCAGCTACAACTCCAGCTGACCTGGACACCCTTGTGCATTTGCCAAGAGCTCAGGAATGGCACGGATGTTTGCTATGAACCAATTTAACTTCTGGTACTCTGCTAGACAATGGTTTATAATAATGCTTGATATAGTACCTTATCACATTGTTGAGAAGTCTTAAAGCACATCACAGGATATACTGTAAAGTTGATTGACTGTGTATTTTGTGGGTAAAAGGTGGCAGCCAGTTGCACACCACAATGTCCCACAAACAACCTGGATGAGGGCAAACTTTCTCCAATTCAACGTCAGCACGACTGAGGCCCTCTTGGTTGGCTCGTGCCAGCGCCTCCACACCTCAGGCGCTGGCAGCATCAGCCTCCATGGCTGCACACTCAACCTCACTAAGCCAGTCAGGAACCTGGGTGTCTTGTTTGACCCTGAACTTTCTCCCCCACATCTGCGCCATGACCGGCACTGCCTACCACCACCCCCAATATTGCCAGATTCCGCCACTGCCTCACCCCTCAAACTGCCGAAACCCTCACCCACGTATTTGTTACATCAAGGCTCGATTACGGGAACTCCCTCCTCATCGGCCTTCCCAACTCTTCCCTTCACAAGCTGCAGATCATCCAAAACTCTGCAGCTCGTGTTCTCTCACGCACCAGGCTCCGTGACCCCATCACTCCCACCCTCGCCCGACTCCACTGGCTTCCCATCCCCCAGTGATCGAGATCCTCATCCTCACCTTTAAGGCCACCCATGGCCTTGCCCCCTCCTACCTCTCTAACCTGTTGACTCCCTACCAACCTGCCCGCTCCCTCCGTTCAGCGGGCTCCGACCTGCTCCATGTCTCATCGATGACCGGGCTTTCAGCCTCTCTGCCCCCACACTCTGGAACTCCATCCCACGGTCCCTTCGCCTCGCTTCCTCCCTTGCCTCCTTCAAGGCCAGTCTCAAGACCCTTCTCTTCGACCGTGCTCTTGGTCGCCCTCCCACCTCTCTGCCTTCCCTCACCCCTACACCACCCCTCCCCCATGCTCGGGCCCCGACACCTGACTGTTCAGCGATTTGGGACGTCCTCCCGACATGAAAGGCGCTCTATAAATGTTGTTGATGGCGTGAATGACATCTTATATGGGAGATTGTTGGCCAGGACACCAGAAAATATATCCTTTTCTTTTTCAATAGTGACATCCACTTGCTCCTGACAAACGGGACCTCGGTTTAACGTCTCATCTGAAGGATGGCACCTCCGACAATGCAACATGGCCCCAGCACTGCATTATTTGCTTGAACCCACAACTTTCTGACTTAAGATGAGAATACTACCAATGCACCAGGCTGACACACTTTATTATGCGCAGGTTGGCAAGAGCCAAGGGTTTGGGGACTAGGCTCCGTGACCCTATCGCACCCATCCTCGCCCAACTCCACCGGCTTCCCATCACACAGAGGACACGGTTCAAGATCCTGGTCCTCACCTTCAAAGCCCTCCATGGTCTTGCTCCCCCCTACCTCTGCGACCTCCTAACCCCCTCCCATCCTGCCCGCTCCCTCCGCTCTGCGGCTCCGGCCTGCCTCACGTCCCCCGCCTCGCTAGCGATGGGCGGGCCTTCCGCCACTCTGCCCCCACCCTCTGGAACTCCATCCCACAGTCCCTCCCCTTCGCCACCTTCAAGACCCCCCGTCTTCGACCGCGCTTTCGATCTCCCCGCTTCCCCCCCCCCACCCCAACCCCCAGCTCGGGTCTGTAACTCTGACTGTCCAGCGCCGTGGGACCTCCTCCCGACGTGAAAGGCGCTTTACAAACGTAATGTTGTTGTTGTTGTTGTGGTGGTGGTGGTGTGGGGGGCGGTGCTGAGGCCCAACATCTGCCACTGAGCGAGAACTCACTGTCTGGCAAACCGCAGGTCCAGTTGGGACCACGTCACCCGTCAGGGCTTTGGAGTCAGCGCTCACCTCTGCCCCCTCCCCCCCGGCCCTGCCCCCCCGGCCCTGCCCCCACCGGCCCGGCCCGGCCCGTGGGACAGCTCCGGGCCGCTCCAGAGGTCGGTTGCGCCGCGCGGGGTCGGGGCCGCTCTTACCGAACTGGTAAAGGTGTTTGACGATGGTGTCGAGGAGCTGTTCGGTGCCCTCACCGCCGCTGCTCTCACCGCCGCTGTCCTCCATGGCCGCCGCCGCCCACTGACTCCCAGCGCTCCCTCAGTGAGTCCGCGGCTCGCGTGGAGCCTCCGCGCTGCTCTGACCGTATAACCAACGCTCAGCGTAATGACGTTGTGCGTGAACCCATTCTTGTGCGTGCGTGTGCGCCCGCGCGCGTGCGGGGAGCGGGGGGGGGGGGGGGGGGGGGTAATTGAGAGGGACCGGTTATTCCAATAGAAGCGCGTGGGTCGATCCTCGCGGGAGGGGGCGGGGCAAGGAGCTGCGTGCGTGCGCGCGCGCTCATCCCCGCGTCGTCACAATCAGCGGCGGGAGGCGCGAGCTCGGTCTCGCGTCGCAACCAGCGGCGGTTGGCGGTGGGAGGCACGTGTCGGGCTGGGCCGGGCCGGGCGTCACCATGGCGGCGCCGAGCGTTGTTCCGGGCCGAGGCGTGGCGGCGGCGGCGGCGCTGTGGCAGTGGCTGTCGCTTCCTCATTCAGCGCCGTAGGCCGCGTGATGGGTAGAGCGGGCTCTCATGGCTGTATCCGGGATGGCGAGCTCCGCTGTGGAATCACTGTATCCGGTGAGTGGCGTGTTTTTGCCCCGGGCTTTAACGGGGCGTGTCACGGTGTGCGCCTGGGGAGGCCCGGCCCGGCCCGGCCCGCGGTACATTATTACATTTAACACATAGCCATTATGTTTGGTCCGGATGTCCAGAGTGGCGCTTGCACCCCGAAAACCACGGTAGGGAACCGCCCGACCTGCACACCCCCGCACCGCACCGCACCCGCACCCGGCCCCCCGCACCCGGCCCCCCGCACTGCTCGGCTCACAGCAACCGCTGCTGGTGAATATACTGTGTTCGCTCTCTGTGCGTTGGACGCTCTCTGTGTAGCTCTCTGTGTAGCTCTCTGTGTAGCTCTCTGTGTAGCTCACGACCCCTCTGAGTCCCAGTCCTTTTGCCTCTTGACATTGCGCCTGTAACGTGGAACGACGTCTCCGAAGCGCTCGACAGGGGCATTGCTGTCAGGTACAGTCACTGTGTGCTTGTAAGCAGATTGACTATTTTGCACCTCAAGCGTAAACCTGTTTTTCCCTTCCGTCACTCTTAAGATGATGGCAATTATTCACGGGTTTGTGATCTGTGTGCTGCACCGGGTGACCCTCGTGTAACCCCGGTCCGCATATCGAGTCCGCTGTGAAACACGCGTATACGCAGCCCCATTTACAGATCGTCAGGTTGCCTCTAATGCGGCTTCGTTGGCTGACATCCTGCTCATAATAATAATAATCCTTACATTTGACATAGCGCTGTATTGAGACGTCTCAAAACACTTCACAGAATATATTGTAAAGTGGATTGACTGTATTTTGCACATAGCAAATGCGCACAAACATTCTTGGATTGAATGACCAAACTTTTTTTTTAGAGGGATTATAACCCTTGGAGAGCGAAAGCGTAGGTGCGGTCGAACTGTGGTCAAAAGATGAACTGTTTCAAAGCTCTGTTGTTGCAGTTGCTTAATACCCCATTTATACTGCTGGAAGTGATGCAACCTGATGATCACCTCCAATTTAGGATTGATGTGAATGGACAAACTTTGTATTGTTATGACACTGTAAACTATTTGATAGTTTTTTGGCGCATTGCAGGTATATGTAGAACCAGCTATGCATTGTCATGTAAGCATATCTGGTCTTCAATTAGTACATTTTTGTAGAACAAGTTTGCATATGATCACCCATCTTAAAATGAGATCATAAATCTCACTCTAAACATTTTCACGTCGTTTACAGCTCTGTACAATGTTCCTAACTTCCTAATTATGTTTTAGTGCTTCCCATGAATCTTGTTTGTCAATATATCCCTTTTGTTAGCCCATTGAGTTTCCTTTTTTTAAAAAACGCCCAATTGTGTCATTGCATTTCTCCTTATACATATTGTTTGTGGTATTAGTACATCTCTTTAAACTTCTGCCTACTATATGTCTGAGGGTTTTGATTGCAAGAGTTACTTACTTCTGTTACTTACTCATGAAAATGAAGCAATGCTCTTTGACAACACCAAGAACGAATTACATTTGTACAGCGCCTTTCATGTCAGGAGGATGTTCCAAGACGCTGAAAGGAAAAAATTGGGTAGAATTTCAAATATTCCAAATATTTCTGGAAAACAAAGTGAATGGACTGCTTTAAACATAAAATATTGTTTGAGAAAGTATGCCAACTCTTGATTTACAACCCCACATCTGCACCATGACCCGCTCTGCCTTCCCCCACCTCCGCCCGGCTCCGCCACTGTCTCACACCGCAGGCTGCCAAAACCCTTATACATGCTTTCATTACATCGAGGCTCGACTATGCAAACTCATTGCTTGTCGGCCTCCCCAATTCCTCCCTCCACAGGCTGCAGATCATCCAGAACTCTGCAGCCCGTGCCCTCTCCCACGCTAGGCTCCATGACCCTATCACCTCCATCCTTGGCCAACTCCACTGGCTTTCCCTTAACATAGAGGATACAGTTCAAGATCCTGGTCCTCACCTTCAAAGCCCTCCAAGGTCTTGCTCCCCCTACCTCTGCGACCTTCTAACCCCCTACCATCCTGCTTGCTCCCTCCTCTCAGTGGGCTCTGGCCTGCTTCATGTCCCCCGCTTCGCTCGCCCCACTATTGGCGAGCGAGCCTTCCGCCACTCTGTCCCCACCCTCTGGAACTCCGTCCTGCAGTATCTCAGCCTCGCCCCCTCCCTCGCCACTTTCAAGACCCATCTCAAGACCCTCGACTGTGCTTTCGGTCTCCCTGCTTCTCCCCGCCCTCCACCTTCCTCGACCCCGACCCCAAGCTCGGTCCATAACTGTCTGTCCAGTGCCTTGGGACATCCTCCCGACGTTAAAAGCGCTTTACAAATGTAATTTTGTTGTTGTTGTTGATAGTTTGAATGAAAAAAGATTTCTGTATGCATTTTTAGTATTTCATATTTTATAGCAGAGAAATCCTACACTGAGTAAAAGAGATGGATTTGAAGACATGATGGAGGATCGTAGACGATGTAGTGATCTGAAGTACGCCATGAGATATTACACTCCAGTGCTTTATAAGTACCTTGTGCCACGTACTCCTAGTGTTATCAAAAGTGTTGTTTTGAAATCTGATCAAGTGCAGCATGTCATCAAGCAGGTAAGATAACGTTAGAATTTGAATTAGTTAAATTGTTTTTCAAACGTTTAAAAAGTAAATGGATCAATAAACAAAGCAAACAGAATGCTGCCAATATATTGCCAAATCGGTTGAGTTCAATTCCCCACAAGTCATACTTGAGCTGCATAGTGTTCTGGTCAGGCTGCACCTGGAACACTTCATGCAATCCTGATCGATGTGACATATGGGAACAGCCCAGATCCTAGAAGCAGTGCAGAGAAAACAACTTAACTTTGTATGAACAACAATAACAATTGTTCATTCTCAATTATATGATTGATTTCTTTTTTGAATAGTAGTGCTGAGAGGGTTGAAATTGATTTGTGTAAAGCTACGCTAATTTTAGTTTTTTTTTAAGTTATCAAAAGAGACTGGCGAATCTCCAGATATCATTGGTGAGGAAGCAGCTGAAATTTTGGAGAAGATGGGTCATGGACTTCGATTAAGTGTTGTCCGATTCTTTGCATTCACTCTGAGCAAAATCTTTAAAGCCCTGTTCCAGAAAGTGCGTGTAAATGAGGAGGGAATTCAGAAGGTTTGTTCACTTTCTTCCTTTGTGGTATTATCTTCCACAGATTTATGTTCATTTTATACAAAAAAAAGACACATGAAAATTAAGTGCTGCAATTTGAGAAATTATTTTTCTTGAAGTGTTTCCCCTTTTTGCCTTCAAAGTGATGACTTATGCTAATGACACTAGCAACTCTTTGGTACCTCGCTCAAGTGGGTAGTCTTCATGTGTGAGGTTAGACAGTGGGTGTCACCAGACTGTTCAAATATGTGGGACATTACAATCCAGTCTGACCTACATGAGTCAAGCCTAGTATTTAGAGATACCCAAAAATGAATGTGTCAGGGTCTTATGCAAGTCTACAGCTTCTCAAATTCTGAATTGAATTAAGAACCCCGAGCAAAGATAACTAATTGTCTACACTTTATATATAACATGGTAACTGGGGTCCATGAAATCTCACCCCACGCTAAAACAAGTAGCATTCACAGGTATGTACTTGTGTATCGTGATATCATAGATCATGTGTTAAAATGGCTGATTTTCAGATCATATATTTGCCACTAACATCACTTCCCAAGTGTTCAGAAAGCCACTAGATTCGCAATACAAAACTTGATTCACCTGCACTATTGGTATCCTAATTAACTAACCTGCTCATAGTAGTAGAGTTAGTTGCGCAGTCACATACATATGCCAAGAAAAAGTTCTACAACAAAAGCATAATGTAGTAAATCGAAAAATAAACATCCTTTCAATATTTTAACAAATACCTTCTGCTGTGTCTATACTGTCAGTAGTGAGGCCTCTTGAGACTAGTCTGGGAATGTTTTCATATTAGAATTTCTTACTTAATGCAAATAATTTATAAGGATGTTTTTTATTTCTAGAGGGACTACTTTGAACACAAATTTTTACGTTCCTCTAGACTCAGTTTACCTGTGACATTTTGGAATTGGAACTTAAGCTCTATTCTATACGTTCATAGTTTATGATGTATTTGTTAAGTGTCACATTTCTAAGTAAAACTCAACTTCGTTTGCAACACTTAGTTTTACACGGTAAAATCAAACTTTTTTTAAAGTGGATGTGCCATTTCTAGAGTAAAGACCATGAAGTTTTATGAATATTATTCTTTTATTTCAGTTACATCAGGCAATTCGGGAATACCCGGTTATTCTACTTCCCAGCCATCGCAGTTACATAGATTTTCTCATGCTGTCGTATATTATGTACACTTATGACCTCTGCTTACCTGTTATTGCTGCAGGAATGGGCAAGTACAATTTTATTTTAGTCAATGAACATAATTGGTTAAATAACCAGTGAAATTCATAGAATTCATAGATTCATAGAATGTCACGGCACAGAAGGAGGCCATTCGGCCCATCGAGTCTGTGCCGGCTCTTTGACAGAGCAAGTCAATATAAAACCAAAGAGGTAATGCTGAATTGAGGTTATTAATGAAAGAAATCTGATGCATTGCAATCAAGTAATATCATGCTCCTTTATAGCACTAATTCTTTTATAATCTGGTTGCATTTTAGACCCCATTCATGGTGCACATGCATAGTCGTCTCTCTCTTTGTTGCACTATGGGAAGCTGAAATGGCCAACGTTTGGGTAATTAGATTGGTGCTGATATCATTTACTGTGCATGCATGGTACACTGTAAATAACTTTGATGGCAGTCTGATTACACAGAGGTCAGACGTTTTAGTTTCCTGCATTAAAATAAGTTGACTTCCAGGTCATCATTGGAATCACTGTCTGCTTTACTCATGTGCAGCACGTAAGAAGTGACATTGACAGAGACCTAGAAGATGATCATTTTAGCTTCCTGGGTGACAAAAATAGCCAATTTACAGGATATTGGGTGGTGATACCCTGATGAGCTGGAAGTCAGCCATTTTTTTACACGGGAAACAAAAATGGCCAACTTCTGGGCCATCAGGATGAAAAGGTCCCAGTGACTTGGCGCTGGCAGGCGTGCAAGGAAGGAATCGACATGCACAGTGAAACCAACTATCGCTCCTCAATACAGTGTGGGTTGAACCTGTGGATTTCAATGACATTGCTGTAATGATTCTTCACTGTACTTATCTACTCATGTTATGTTTCAGAATAAAAAAACTGATGGATACTTTTTTCACAGATTTTATGGGAATGAAAATTGTTGGTGAGATGCTTCGAATGTCTGGTGCTTTTTTCATTCGACGTTCATTTGGAGGGGACAAGTTGTATTGGGCCATTTTTTCTGAATATGTGAAAACCATTCTGCGGGTGAGTAAGCAACTTATTAAATTTTGTTGGGTCAGCCAGGCATGCAAACCTCTTTCCATGCTTGAGTCTACACATTCAGCTCCTAAGATCTCAGAAGTCGAGTTTTATTTATTAGTTTTGGATTGCAAAACTCTTCTGCCCTTACTTGTAAGCCCATCTCAAAACATACCTCTTCAACCATACTTTCAGTCATCTTTCCCCTCCCCACCCCTCTCAGCTCCCATCTCCAGCTTAGGTGAAGCACTTTGAGATGTCCTCATGATGTGAATGTAAATTGTATTGTCCTTCCATTTCTCACTTATCTCTACCCACAAGTGGAATCCTAGGTTTTATAAATAGGGATATAGAATATAAAACCAAAGAGGTAATGCTGAATTTTTATATGGTTCAGTTAAACCACAGTTAGAATATTATGTCCAGTTTTGGTCACTCACTTTAGGAAGGATGTGAAGGAGAAGGTGCAGAGGAGATTTGCTAGGATGATACCAGGGGTGAGTGGTTTAGTCTATGAACAAAGAATGGAGGAACTGGGACTGTTTCCATTGGAGCAAAGGAGGTTGAGGGATGAGCTTAGCTTTAAAATTATCAAGGGTTTCCATAGGGAGAGATTATTTCCACTGGTTGATGACTCAGTGACGAGAGGGCATTAATTTAAGACAGCTATTTTGTACCTCCAGCACTGCACTGGAGTGTCAGCCAAGATTATTTATGAGTTTAAATTCCTGACTTGGGACTTGAACCCCAAACCTTCTGATTCCAAGGTGAGAGTGTTAGCAAATGAGCCTGGCTGACATGCATTTGGTTATTTCTTGGGTGAAAAAATATTGATGAGTCATGATATGGTAGTTTTAGAAACCATGATCTAGATTTCTCAAATGAAACTGTACAAATTATCTCCACAATTCATAAACAGTAAAATACAGTGTCAGATTTAGGTCTCTGCTCCCCAATTATTATGAACTAATTGTATTTGTGCAAGTTTCTTTCTAAAGTTTGCTGCTATCAGTAATAATTCAAAAAATTATTTTCTAGAATGGAGATGCTCCCGTTGAATTTTTTGTGGAGGGGACAAGAAGTCGTACAGGGAAATCACTGACGCCAAAATTAGGTGAGTCTGACAGTTAATAATCTTTCATTTAATATAGCTCTTTCACAACAACAACAACAACAACTTGCACTTTTATAGCGCCCTCGATACAGGGTAGCATCCCAGAGCGCTTAACAGTGGTGGAGCCTTACTCCGAGCAGGGGAATGGGAAGGTGAGCATAAGCACGGTCAAAAAGGAAGGTTTTCAGCTGAAACATGAAAAGGGGGAGAGTGTTCCACAGTTTTGGGGCGTAGTGGCTGAAAGCGAGACCTCCAATGGTAGAGCAGAGGGTGTGAGGGATAAGCAGGAGGCCGGTGCCAGTTGAACAGAGGTGCTGGGTGGTGGATTGGGTAGTGAGGAGTTCGGAGAGGTAGGGAGTTGCCAGGGAGTGAAGGAATTTTGACACGAGTATGAGGATCTTGAAGTGGATCTGTTCGGTGATGGGGAGCCAGCGGAACCTGGCAAGAACTGGTGAGATGTGGGAACAGAGTTTGGTCGAGGTAAGTATGCGGGCAGCAGAGTTATGAAAGAGTTGAAGGGTTTTGAATAGTGGAGTTGGGGAGACCGGCGAGGAGTGCATTTGAGTAATCCAGGTGGGAGGTGGCAAATGCATGCACGAGGGTTTCGGCTGCATTTGGGATAATGTACGGTTGGAGGCAGGCGATGTGGTTTAGGTGGAGGAAGGCGGTCCATTTTGTCCACATTCAGCTGCAAGAAGTTTGCACTCATCCAGGCCCTGATGTCTGCTAGTCAAGCTGATAGAACATAGACTGACCTGGAGTTGGTACTGGAGGAGGCAAAATAGATATGTGTGTCATCTGCATACATGTGGAAGTTTACTCCGTGTATACAGACGATATCGCCCAGAGGGAGCATATAGATGAGGAAAAGAAGAGGGCCAAGGATGGAGCCCTGGGGTACCCCGCAGGTAGGGCAGGGGCGGGAGGAGAAACCATTTGCCGAGATGAAGTGGAGGTGGTTGGTTAAGTAGGACTCGCACCATGCGAGTGCAGTCCCACTAGGTTGGAGAGGCAATAGAGGAGGATGGCATGGACGACTATATCGAACACAGCAGAGAGATCCAGGAGGACGAGGAGCCAGAGGGAGCCCTGGTCACAGATAGAAAGGACATCGTTTATGATTTTGACAAGCGCGCTGTCTCTGTGCTGTGAGCAGGGTGAAAAACAGACTTCAGGGGCTCGAGGAGGGAGTGGAGGGAGAGGTGGGACCGAAGTTGACCTGCAACAATGCATTCCAGGACTTTAGCAAGGAAGGGTAGGTTGGAAATGGGATGGTAGTGTGAGAGATTAGAGGGATCAAGGGTGGGTTTTTTGAGGAGGGGTGTGATAACAGCAATTTTCAAGGTAAGTAGAACAAAGCCTGAGGAGAGAGACTGGAGAGCAAGGGAGTGTAAGGAGTGGGGAGTGGCAGGAACTGTGGTGGAGGGAGAAAGTGTTGTGGATGGTCTGGGTGGAGTGGAAGGGGACATGTGGGGCGGGGGGGTCCGTTGCAGCCAAGCGGATGTTTTCAATCTTTGAGGTGAAGAAGTCTAGGACCTCATAACACCCTTGTCGTTTGATGTGAGGATACAGGGAGCTAGAGGTGTTGCACAGAGGAGGTGAAAGATGGTGGAAAACAGTGTCTTTGGGTTGTTCTTGGCCTCCAGGACTTTGGAGTAACAGCCAATTTTGGCCTGTGGAAGGAAGAGACAGTAGGTGCGGAGGTACTCGACCCAGAGATGGCAGTGAATCGTGAGGCCAGATTTCTGCCATTTGCGTTCAAGCATCTGGATTTGGGTTTTAAGTGTGATAACTGTTGTACTAGGATTTGGAAACAACCCTGGATTTCAGGGGAAGCAGGGAATTAAAGGTTGTGGAGAGACAGTCATTCAGCAGCTTGGTGGCTGCATCGGGATCGCTGCGAGTGGAGGGCCAGAGGGAGAGGAGGTCCGAGGAAGAAAGGGTATTTGTGAGGGGTGACATCTCGAAGTGCTTAACAAAATATGCTATTAAGTGCCGTGACTAAATATGTTTTGTCGTCAAATATGGCGACCAATTTGCATACAGCAATGCCCCACAAATAGCCATGAAGTAAATGACCAATTTTATTTGGGAGAATTGTTGGCATGGACACCGGGAGAGACTGAACTGCTTAACACCTCATCCAAAAGACAGCATTATCGACAGTACGTCAGACTCCCGGCACTCTATTAGAGTATCAACCAGGACTGCAAATTCAAAGTTCTGATTTGGGGTTTGAACCCACAACCTTCTAACTCAGAGGCGAGAAATGCTATCAAGTTTTTAGAAAGGGCAGTCTATTGTCCTTTTTCTAAATTCAGTGACATCGGTGGTGCTTCCGGTGGTATAGTGTATAGACCACGTGTGCAGGAAACGGGAAGTGACGCTAGTGGTCTTTTTTGTGCATGCACACAATACATAGGAAGTGACATTAGCGGGGCCCTAGCAGCCCAGAAGTCAGCTATTTATCGTGCGTGTTCAGATATCGGATCCAGATAACTGAATTAGAGTTAGGAATTATTGTTCTCTCCATGTCACCAATTTATGTGTTTTGTTTATTTTTGACTTTACTTTTGGAAATTTTGTGTTAATTTTGACCAGTGCCAAAATCATTCTGACTCAAATTAAAATATTTCCTTATAATATTTTCTATATGTACTATGAACCTGTCAAATAATAAAATAATTTTAAGAGAAGAGTCAGTGGAAGAAAAGTAATAATCCTTGCATTTGATATAGATTAACAACTGAGTTCCAATTTACTGCTAGGTAAATAGAGGTGTGTGGAGTAAGGAAACTTGGCCAAAGTTTCGTTCTGCCCAGGAATCAAACCAGGGTCCTCGCGCTTGAAAAGCGAGCTTACTAACCACAACGCTACGGAATCCCTCCACTGACAAACCTACCTCGAGGCTGCTTTTTAAAAACTTTCTGTCCATTATAAGCAAATAATACTACAAAGGAACCACTAATTTTTTTTGTCAACTTTGATTTCTCAATTTAGATTTCTTAATAGTAGAGTTCAGTATCGAACGCTCCAAAAATAAATAGTTGATAGTCAGAATATAGGGAAAGTCTGTTTACAGTCGACAATCACATTGAAATGAGTTTTTAGAAACTAGCATTAAACCTGAAATAAAATTGCTTTGGAGAAAATAGCAAAAAACCTTCAAAATTAGCATAAAGATTGTTTTGTAAATACGACTTGTACTGTACATTTGTTGTTGAGACTAAAATCTCAATCTCTAAAATCTCTTGTCAGCGCCTTGGGATGTCCTCCCGACGTGAAAGGCGCTCTATAAATGTAATTTTGTTGTTGTAAAATAAGTTATCACCTTGACTGTTCATACAAAACATTCTCTGGGCAAAAATAAATGAAAGTTTTCATTTGAAAAATATCACCTTTCACACATAAACAGAAAATGGTTGTTGCCTGATACTACTAAAAACAAATCCAAAATCTGAACTTTTTTTAAAAAAATGCAATGTTCAAACAAATGTATCCAAAGTTGCTGCGGATGTTAAGGAGGAAAACAGTAAATTTGTTTATAAAGCCACAATAATGTCAATAAAGGCAAATAAAGATACCAGTAAATGCACTCAAATGACCCTTCTCTATGATCTGTCTATTGTTGTATCTAGCTTATAAAGGCAATGATTGCAGATGTAAAACTGTATGTATAAATAAAAATACACTGAAGTTTTGTGTAATGTTTCACAAATTCTGTTATCAATAAATAGTGCTGGATCAGATCTATAAAATGTTATTTTTTACAGGTTTACTGAATATTGCAATCGAACCTTTTCTGATGGGAGAAGTTTTTGACACGTACCTTGTTCCAATCAGCATAAGCTATGAGCGAATACTAGAGGAGTCCCTGTATGCACATGAGCTTTTAGGAGTGCCAAAGCCAAAGGAATCAACTTCGGTCTGTACAATTTACCTGTTACAAACGCTCCATTTTGGTTACTTCCTAATATTAATGCAAAGTGGTGACAAAACCTTGTTTTATGTTTTAGGGTTTGTTGAAAGCAAGGAAGATTCTCAGTGATAACTTTGGGAGCATACATGTTTACTTTGGGCAGCCTATATCCGTGAGAACTCTGGCAACTGGAGCAGTTAGAAGGGCTCAGTACAACTTGGTTCCCAGGTCAGTTGTCACAGATTATGCATAGGTTATCAGCAATGGGAGCAATAACTGCAAAGTGATGTACATACTTCCTTGTACTTTTGTGTTAACCAATGTTAGCGATATTTTCTAGATCATAATTTAGGTCTATAATGCACGATAATGATGTATGCCAATGGTTTGGTACTGTAACTCTCAAAGCACATGTTTTGAGTGGCTGTAGGAGAGACTTGAATTTAAGATTAAGAATCACCAGTCAGACTTGTTGACTCTTGTCACTTCTCATTTACGTCTTATTCTTGGAAAGATTTTTTTCCCACGATTACCTCACTATCAAATCACCTAAGGTATAGACAAAGATAAGTCAAAGCACTTTACAATAGGATAGGATAGCACTTTGAGATTAAGTCAATTTATGCCACTCATTGATCTCCTATCAATAGTCAGGAACCTAGGTGTTTTGTTCGACCCTCAACTGTCTTCTCCCCCACATTCAAGCCATGTAGATCAGTGGTTAGAGCACTCGCTTTGCAAGTGAGAGACCTGAGTTCAATTCCAGGCAGGGCGAAACCTTGGGCAAGTTTTCCACACGCCTAATAATAATCCCTCCAAAAAAAAAAACAATAATAAATTGGTCATTTTTAATCCATGACTGTTTGTGGGACATTGCTGTGCGCAATTGGCTGCCGCGTTCGCCCACAAATATACAGTCAATTCACTTTACAGTATATTCTGTGAAGCACTTTGGGACGTCTAGAAGACGTGAAAAGCGCTATAACAAATGCAAGGATTATTATTATGACCCGCTCAGCCCTCCCTCACCTCAGTAATATCGTCCGACTCCGCCACTACCTCACCCCTCAGGCCACTGAAGCTCTTGTTCATGCCTTCATCATCTCCAGGCTCGACTATGCAAACGTCCTGCTTGTCGGCCTTCCCAACTCCTCCCTCCACAGGCTGCAGATAATCCAGAACTCTGCAGTCCGTGTCCTCTCCCGCACCAAACTCCATGACCCTATTTCCCCCACTCTCGCCCGACTCCATTGGCTCCCTATCCTTCAGAGGATCCAGTTCAAAATCCTGGTCCTCACCTACAAAGCCCTCCATGGCCTCGCCCCACCCTACCTCTGTGACCTCCTAACCCCCTACCAACCCGCCCGTTCCTTCCGCTCAGGCCTGTTCCACATCCCCCGACCCACCCGCCCCACCACTGGTGGGAGACTGCCTTCAGTCCCCAACCTCTGGAATTCCATCCCCCAGTCACTCCGCCTCGCCCCCTCCTTAGCCTCCTTCAAGTCCCGCCTCAAAAACCCTCCTCTTCGACCATGCCATCGGCCACCCCCCTTACCTCCCCAACCACAGCTCGGGTCTGAAATGCTGTTCTCTGTCCAGCACCTTGGGACGTCCTCCCGACATGAAAGGCGCTGTACAAATGTAATCTTCTTGTTGTATTAGCCGTTTCATAAGTGGGTTGGGAATAGTGTCTTACCATTTGAAAAGGGCAGCGTCTGTAAGGGACTATATTTTTTTCACCTGTTAAGTTTTTTTTTCCCCTGAAGGTGCTAGGTCTTGCTGGTGTATAATTCTGATGACATCTCTGATCCTAGACTGAAGGGGACATTCTTCTTGTGCATGCATGACTGGCTAAGCATATTGGCAGGCTATTTGAGTGTCGCATTCACACAGCTTGGGGACCCAATGTGCAATAAGAAAAGGCTTTTTTTCTATATTTCCCATATACTTCTAACTGAAAGTGCTATATTGTATATGGTGTATTGTGTTTATGTACCTCTATCTTTATGTCTATTAAGGATCATTTCAGCTGAAGAAGTTTTGTTTTTTGCACAGTGAGAATTTCACTTATTTAGAAGTTCAAGAGCTGTGCATATTCAACATCTGTGACATGGCTTGATAAATTTCTCCACTTGTGAGTTATAAATAAACAGTGTTAACAGGGAGGGATAGATACAAAATCAGTCACTGAGTCAGACTGATTCGTATCGTTGCACAACTCTTCGCAGCTAGCAGAGAATAGTAATGATGTAAAATTAGGAGGAACAAATTATGGAAAAATATATAATTTTGTTCAGTACCATTGCAAAAAAAGGTTGTAGCAAATGTGTGCTGCTTTATTTATTGTTTATACTTTGTCCAGGCAAAAAACTGTAAGTCACAGAAGACTTGTAACTCCATATCTTGCCCAAGTTTTGTTTGTGGAATCAAACCCTACCCTATTGAAGCTCAGTAATGTTGTCTAACTGGTTTCAAAATTGGTAACAACTAGTAACAAGCTCCAAAGAATATACCTGTTTAAACTTGCACTTCAGGCGTCAGGTTCGAACCCCAACTATCCTCTGTAACCCACATCCAGGCCCTGGCCAGGATCTCCACTTCCACCTCATTCAAACAATTATTATTATTACCGTGGCCAGGACCGCTTTCCTCCACCTGCAGCACATTGCCCGCCTTCTCACTCGCACTAAACTCCGTACCTCTATTACCCCAATCCTTGTCAAACTCCATTGGTTCCCTGTCACAGAGCGGATCAATTTCAAGATCCGTACTTTGAATTTAAATATTCTTTTTATTTATGTTTTTTTTTTTCTACACAAACTGATTACCAACTTGATATAGCGCCTCCACGGGGCGTCAGGCACTTACGTTCAGATCCGGAGAGCAGGGGAGTGGGGAGGTGACAAGGCGGTCAAAGAAGTGTTCAGCAGGAGCTGATGGGGAGGGCGGACAGGGTGAGGGGGTTCCAGATCCGGATAGTAGCTGAAGGCCGATGGACGAGATCGTCAAGAGCAGACCGAGACGGCACGGTCTTGCTGAGGAGGAGGTCAGAGAGGGGGGTGCAGAGGAGTGCAGGTGATCCAGGGTGGATCTGAAATCGATCTTTGGATGGAGCCAGTGCGTCTGGGGGGGGGGGGGAGGGGTGCGGTGGGCGGGGGCAGGTTGTGAGTGGATTATGGTGGTGGGATGGGGACCGGGGGGGGGGGGGTCAGGAGGTGACAAAGACATGGACCAGGGTTTCAGCAGCTTTTGGGGAGAGGTATTGGTGGATCTCTGCCTCCACTTGACTGGCTCCAGTCAACTCCTTGTCCCCTGGACCCTCCGCTCCACAATCAGCAGCCATGCTTTCAGCCACTTTGCCCTGAAGCTGTGGAACGCTTTCCACAATGCCTTCACCTTGCCCCCTCTCCGCATTTTCAGGTTGTGCTTGAAGACCTTCCTTTTTGACCGTGCCTACAATCACCTTCCCCACCGCCTGGCTCGGCATTGGGCTCCGCCACTGTTAAGCGCTCCAAGATGCTGTCGGGAGTGAAGGGCTCTATATAAATGCAAGTTGTTGTTTTAAAGGTGTTTGGCAAAGCACCACATGAAAGACTTCCTCACAAACTGGTCACTGGCTATCAACGACAAGGACTCAGAATTAGCTCAAGAGAAGGAAGCAGTAAGTGTTAGGGAAGCAAGGTCAAAATATGGAGAGATATTAAGCAGGGTATCTCAGGGACCTGTACTGTTCCTCACATATATTAATGATCTGGATTTGCAGACCCAGTGTAAATTAAATTTGCAGACAACACCAAGTTGGGGGGATCTGTGGTATTAGGAAACCGCAGAGGTCTTACAAACGGAGCTTGATAGGGTATGCACATAGGCTGATAACTGGCAAATAAAGTTTAATACAGATAAAATACTACATCCAGAATGCTAGAATAGGAAAATACCCATTAATGAGTACTTAATGGGTGGGATAGAACTTGCCAAGGTGGAAGTTCAAATAGATTTAGGGGTCTTAGTTGACTCGTAGCTCATTATGTCAAAATAGTGAGAGGCAGCAGTAAACAAGGCAAACAAACAGAATCCTATGTTGCAAAATCAATTTACTTTAGATCCCCAGATTTTAAATGAGAAAACATTAACATCAAAATTGTTATGTTCTTAATTACGTACTTAATAAAATCGTTTTGTTCTGCAGATTCCTCATCAGTGGGTACACTTGCTTAGCTAAGACGTGGTTTATAAGAGCCAATGCTGTTGGCTCTTTGGAAGATTTTATAACCTATATCTTTAGTACCTGCAAAGAGTGATTCTGATTGATCCATTTGTAATGAATTTTATTTTCTTTTACATATAGTTTTTCAGTAATATGTAGTCTGGAAGATTTCTTTTAAAATAGAAATTAAAACTTTGAAGTGTTTTTTTTTAAAATTCTATGTGTAATTTTCTGTTGTTCTAAAAGGATATATGAAGACTAGAAGTAAGCAAAACTACTAAACAAAGTAGCTTTCCAAGCAATCATTGCTAAGCAGAACAAGGTTTTGACCTGTTAAAGAATAGTACTGTTCAGAAAAGCAAAATGTGTTGTATTTCATACAGCCTGCGAGCCCTCAGAGGATGTCCTGAAAGGGTCATAAATTCATCCTTCTTTGGTGCATCCCAGTGATAAACATCATATTTTCCTAAGAAATTATTCTTGTGATCTAATAGCAGGAGCAAACACAATAGAAATGAGGAGGTAGGGAGTGGTGGGACTCTGAACAATCCAAGCAAGTTTTCAAATTAGGAAAGTTACACAATCAGATTTTGAAAAACTAAATCTATTTACCCGGATAATATTTTCAATGCCACTTTAAAAGAAATGTTGAAAAGTGGGCCCTGGTTGAATGTATATTCCTTGTGTACCAATGTTCATGTGTACCAGTGCTTCTTCAGTCACTAATTTGTATGTTAGTGTTGAAGATTTGTAGTGATGTAGCGTGAAAGGAAATATTGGTCAACAACAACAAAATTACATTTATAGAGCGCCTTTCACGTCGGGAGGACGTCCCAAAGTGCTCAACAATCAGGTGTCGGGACCCAAGCGTGGGGAGGGGTGGTGTAGGGGTGAGGTAAGGCAGAGAGGTGGGAGGGCGACCAAAGGCACGATCGAAGAAAAGGTTCTTGCGACCGGCTTTGAAGGAGGCAAGGGAGGAAGTGAGGCGCAGGGACCGTGGGATGGAGTTCCAGAGTGTGGGGGCAGAGAGGCTGAAAGCCCGGCCACCGATGGAGCAGACCGGAGCCCACTGAACGGAGGGAGCGGGCAGGTTGGTAGGGAGTCAGCAGGTCAGAGAGGTAGGAGAGGGCAAGGCCTTGAAAGTGAGGATGAGGATCTTGAACTCGATCCTCTGGGGGATGGGGAGCCAGTGGAGTTGGGCGAGGGTGGGAGTGATGGGGTCACGGAACCTGATGCGCAAGAGTACACGAGCTGCAGAATTTTGGATGATCTGCAGCTTGTGAAGGGAAGAGTTGGGAAGGCCGATGAAGAGGGAGTTTCCATAATTGAGCCTTGATGTGAACTTGTATAGAAGGAACTTTTCAATATCTGATAAATTTTATTGAGTTGATTAGCACTAGTAAACACTTTTTCACAGCACATTATTTTTGATCTTTTAATTCAGGCATATTCCACAGAGACCTTCAGAAGATGTGTATAAATTTCTCGATGCTATTGGCCATAGAATGGTGCTACTGCAGCAAAAAAACATGGTCATTAGTCCTTGGCCACTAATGGCTACAGTGCTCATGCAGAACCTTCCTGGTATACCATTGTTGGATGTCATCAGAAAGACACTGTGGCTCAAAGAAATCGCAGAAGCATTTGGTGCTTTTATTGACTGGCCTGGTATGTTATGAAAGTGTACAGATAAAGACAGTTTAAATGTCACAGCCTTTAATAATCCTTTTGCTACCAGAGAACATATTTTGTATGTTTATTTTCCCATCCAGCCCATGAGGAGATTTCTATGGGGTTGGAGTTATTAGGTCATAACAAAATTACATTGGTTGCGAAGGATGTCGCTTATATAGAGCGCAGAGTGGAAACATCCCTGATCAGATCCATATTCAAGGAGATCTGCTGTTTATTACATGATGATAATAATAATCCTTGTATTTGATATCATGGGAAGTAATGTAAAGTGATGTGTGTGTGTGTATTTTGGGTGAACACAGCAGCCAATTTGCGCACAGTAATGACTCATAAACAGTCATAGAGTGAGTGACCAATTTGGGGGAGTATTGGTCAGGATACAGGGATAAACTAACTTCTCTTATCAAGTAGTGTCTCTGGATCTTTAACATCTACCTGAACCGGTAGACAGAACCTCAGTTTAATGTCTCTAAGCCTTGAGCCTTAATATGGTCTTAAAATGAAATTATAATAAGACATTGTTTTAGTTATTTTTGTTTCTCATTTGGTTGTAATTATATTGCTGCTTTAAGAAAATATTCAATTAATTTACTGATATCTGTGCTGTGTCATAGCAAATGTACCATCTGATAAGGTGATCCTCTCCAGTCTTGCCCTACATCGTAACATTGTGAAGACAGTCAAAAACCAGGTTCTACTTTGTCAAGAGGAGACACAGACCACTTTGGAAAAGGTTTTTAAGCACACAGTCTCTGTGCTGATGTGTGCATCTTACAGAAATCAGATACTACACCTTTTTCTGCGTCCAGCGTTGGTGGCGATTGCATTTCAAATTACATGCAGTTGCAAGAGAGGTAAATATGCCACCTAGATTATGCACACTTTTGGGGAACATTTACTTTTGATGGTACAGTGGGTGAGATGAGATTATGATCCTTTCACCTTTGCAATCGGCATTTAAATCCAGCCCAAACTGATGGATTAAATCTCTATGGCGGTGTAAGGATTCTAGTTGAAGTAAATTCTTGCATTCTTCTTGAGTTTCAAGCAACGTCAAAGTACAAGATTATTATTATCATTATCACTGTAAAGTGATTTCTATTCTATCATATTTGATTATTTCGTCATCAGCTAAACTGTCATCAGCTTACTCTCAGTGCAACTTCAATTCTGGCTATCAGGTTGTAGGTTTGAGTTGTTGAGTGACAGTCCCAGTATGTTTGTGGAGAAGCATCTGTTTCCATGTGGATCAATGCAGAGCAGCACAATTGAAATTGTTAATTCAGTATGTGAATGATCATGGTATTAAATCTACTGTAACTCTAGTTCAATGATCCTGCCATTATAATTATAACTATAGAACAACCAAAAAAAAGAAATATCAATGGTTTCAATTCCTGCTCTCAAGCTCCTTTATGGTACATAGTAAACATTGTATATCAGAATGGTTTAATAGCTGAATCGATTATTGGCTGTATTTAAATGAAAATACCATGTTTTGAGTAATCTGCTATTGCTTTAGTTGAACTTCAGTGGCTAAATATACAGTAAGATACTACATGAAAAATTGCTTGCTGAAAGGTTGCTATAATTATAATTTTAGATAATCAAATTCAAATTTATTGCCAGGAATTTGTCACTAATAATTGTTTACATAACGTGAGGTTTTCAATCACCTTCATTCTTCAGTCAGCTCCCTCCAAGCTTGAGCTCCCAGTCAGCTGTATGAAACACTTTGAGATGTCTTTCCAACATGAAAGGAACTATATCAGTGTAAATTGTTGTTGATGGATTAATGGGACAGCAATATACACCATAAGAAACTACAAAAAAGTTTTCTTACTGCACACTGAATTACTTGATGATAACCAGATTTGTGTACACATCTGATGTTGCTGAAATCGATTTTAGATTATTTTTGAAGATTGTGTTTTTTGACAAAATAGAACTTAAAAATATAGGTGATGAATATAAGGTGGATAATGTATACAATGATGCAATGGATACCATACCATGACTGACTAACTATAAAACAAAGCAGTAAAAAATAAAGGCTTCCACCAAAGTGACTTTATATTCCTAACAAGATTCTTATAATGTTTTTGTTTCTTTCAGGGGATGTTTATGGCTGCTTTAGCTTTTTACAAGAACTACTCTCCAATGAGTTTATTTTCTTAACAGGAAACGGTGTCAAGGTAACATGACATCTGCCAAAAAATTCTGGGTTGTATGCTAAAACTTCTTGAAGTTAGATAATGTGTTTCTTATTATTCTTTACTTGTCAGGTAATTTAATACTGAAATTGTTCTTTTTCAATTAATATTTCAAGCGCATGAAACATTGCCATCATGCATTATCGTTTTCTACTCTAGACTACAAATTCCGTTCTGTATAATATAAAGCAACTTACAAAAACTTGCATTTATATTGCGCCTTTCATGTGGGTAGCATCTCGGAAGGCTGAAACAAAACATATACAATCTAGATGGACTTTGACCGCTCTACTATTTTATTGCAATAGAGAGACATGGTGGGCTGAGAGGAATTGCACAATTTATATTGAAAACCAGAAATTGCAATTAACAACTCCATTTTGTTAATATTGCAAATTAGACCCCAATTTTATATTTGTACTAGACATTGACTTGAATTTATTTTTGCATACAGTTTGGGGTGTTCCATTATAGAAAGAACATTCATAGAGAGAAAGTATAGAGAACATGGTAACCAGGGATGAGCATTTATTGCTATTTGAAGAGTCTTGGAAAGTTGTGACTTTTTGCTGGAATAGTGAAAGTTAAGGTGAGATGTGAGAAGAGGTTTTCCCAAATTAACAATGATTTTGATGGTGGAAGTAGAGATAAACTGCTTAGACTGATTGATGGCAGGCAATAAATAACAAGATGGCATGAATTGAGGATTATTCTCAGAAAAAAAGGGGGAGGTTAGAAGAAATATATTTACACAGAGAAATGTTAGATTGTGGAATGTCTAATCACAAATAGCTGTTGAAGCCGAGTCCATGACAGCACTTAAAATTAATTATCAGCCGATTGCACCAAAGAATATCATTCATGTTACCACTCTTCTGAATTTCATTGCCCCTCAGAAACCAAAATAAAAGTTTTTCCAGTGAATAAAGACACTGGAGTAGCACTGAGCCTTATAGATCGTCTATAATTGATTTGAACTGGATTAACTGGTCTCGGCTGGCACAGTAATTGGAGTGCTACAATTGGCTATACCACTGGATTAAGGAGGGCAAAGATCAGCCAATGTTCCCCTTCCTGGAGAAGCATCAAGTTGTGAACGTTGAGAACAATATAGTACTTTGCACATATTTGTATTTTGGGTAAGGATATGATTAGGCTTGCCTAATGCAAATGTAAGGATTATTTTGTCCGATACCACATAGTTCATCGTTGAGTATCTTGGCTATGTTCAGTGTGAATTGACTCTTTTCTCTTACTGTAGGACTTTGACGAAGGGTTGTACTTGTTAATGAAATGCAATGCCATTCAGGTGTCTCACACTGATCTTTATGTCTCTGAGAAAGGCAAATCCACATTGTCCTTTTTGTCAAGCATGTTCTGGCCTTTTCTGGATGGTTATCGGGTAAGTTTCTGAGTAATGAGAGCATTATGTTCAACAGTTTATGAACTTTGAATTATTCAAACTAAAAGGACAAACATATAAAAAAATGCTAATTTTTTTAAGAACAGTCTTGCTATAAATAAACAAGAAGAACAAATTACATTTGTATAGCATGTTTCATGTGGGGCGGATGTTCCAAGGCGCTGATGTGAAGTTATAACATAAGAGCACTGTTATAGGTGAAGGCTTACGGTGTGGGTCTACTGTATAAGTCTCAAAACATACAACCGTGCTTGCTGTGGTTCAACAAAATCAGCTTTCTTGTAATGCTCTTTTCTAATATAGAGATTTTTTAAAATTCTGTCCATGAAACAGATTCTGAAACAATCTCTTTAAAAAGTTCTTGCTTCATTAGTTTTCGCCTTAATTCTTATCTATAGTGAAATAACTTCTTCAGCAATGTAGTGATTTTACTTGTGCCTTTCTGCCTTTTATGTTTTCTTGAGAATGTAGCTTGAGACTGAATTATTGTAAACATCTAAATATAGTACTATAGTTGTATCCATATCTTCCTATACTGTAAATTCCTTTGAATGTTCCCTTTTTTTGTTATTTATACTCTTCCAGCTTACCGGCTTTCAAAATAGACATTCATGTGCTGGTTACATCAAAACCAAGGATAAGAAAAATTGTTTTAACTGGAATCATTTGTAATAAGTGCAATGATCTCTCTTAATATTTTGTATTTTAGGTTATTTGTAAATACTTGCTGTCCAAAGAATTTAGTGAGGATTTTACAGAGAAAATGTTTATTACAGAAATCCGAACCTATGCAGCAGAACTAATTTTAGCAGGTATTTAATTTAAATGTAGTTTCCATTTATCTAAGATTCTACAACCATAAAATGTATATTCTAAGACGATTTTTTATATCAAAGGTGAAGAATGTTGTATAGCCAATGGTACATGTTTTAACTTTTAATGTTACTTAGTTTTTAATATTAGATATTCAGGGTCGGGGGCATGTAAAATTCCACCACTCTTACACGATCAGTGTGCATTAATCTCAGAAGGCAAACAACCAATTAATTGGCTGTTATTTCTCAGCTGTCCATGTGGTATTTCTAAGTTTAAAAAAAAATTCCATGCCCTGTGCCTTATCCCTCTATGAGCAGAATTTAAATTGTCGTGAGTTATCCTGTATAGAAACCTTACATTTCACAAGATTAGTATAGAGGTTTGGGTGAATAAGCCCCTTTTGATCTCATCCTTCCAGAGTATTTTTATTCCAGGCCAAAATATACTAACTCACTGAATGACTCAATCTCTGCCCATGTTCTTGATTAGTATTCATTCACTTTCATAGTCATTTGATTGATGCATTGTTGCAGAATAAAACTGGTCGAGTTATTTTACTCAGAAAGCTTTTCTGTTACACGGCCCCATATTTAGCAATCCAACCACAAACCTGAAAAATGGGGGTGAGGGAGCGCCACTGAAGATCACTCCAGGGTTTGAACATGAGACACTGATTTGAAATCTAACATTCCATTGCAGAGTTACATAGATGTTCTGCTTGGGAGTCATAATAAAAAGAATTACATTGATATATTGGCCCTTCATGTCAAGAGGACAACTCGCAGGAATTTACTGTGAAGTGTAGTGATATTAATCACTTAGAAAGTGATTGATATTTCTTTTACACCAAACAATAAATTAAATCGCAAACTTAGAATTATAAAAACTTCCATTAGGGTCTGATTTATACTCTTTCCTTTCTATATAGGTGCCATAAAGTACAATGAAGTGCTTTCTGTGGATATGCAGAAAAATGCTTTGGCTGCTTTTGTACGACTGGGAGCTATACACAAAATCAAAACGTATGTATTAAAATAATAATAATAATCTTTATGTTTGATATAGTGCCTTATCTCAAAGCGCTTCACAGTATATATTGTAAAGTGATAAAAATGTTAATATAGTGAATAGTGTAATAACTCAATGGTTGGAATCCATAAAACCACAACCTCTTTGTATAACATGATAGTGAGGCCCTCTTGTTTTCTGTGCACTGGCCGGTTCCCACACAAAAAGAAAAGCTGCAGACTTCTGGGGCATCAGGACATCCCCAACATCACCACCTGTTTGCTGCCCTGCACAAAGCAGCAAGTGACATCATTGGTGATCTGATGACTCAGATGTCTGCTTTTTTCAGAGCAGGAATGGTTAACCGCGTCATTAGGTTGCTTCCAATGTCAGCTTCTGCTTTTCCCAACGCCCAGCAAAGCAGGAAGTTGCAGCAGCAGGTACCTAATGACCTGGAACTTTGTAATTTTAGTGCAAAAGCCAACTGCACACAGGAGATGAGTGCAATAGTTGCAAACATGCTCAGCGGAGGTCCACAACGAACCTGCATTATATCCAAATTCAAGCTGTAAAGGATCACATTATAATGGGACTGCATTGTAAATTCTAATTATTGCAGTGTGAAAATGGTTTGGTCATATGATTATATTTACAGTACTTTATAGCTGGAAGTATATGGCTTTACATTATTGATTTAATGCTTTACAGAGCTGATGGGATCGTCTGTAAGGTGAACAGGAGTGTTGTTGAAAAAGTGGCAGAAATGTTGGGTAAGAACATCCAATTTGTCCGTAGACAAAAGTGATTTCTGGCTAGTTTTCCTTTGCAACCAATAAAATAGTTATTTTTATATAAATTACTTTGTAATTCTACATTCAGTTGGGTGTTTTAATGCAGATATATAGATTATGATAATCTTAGGATATAAACTGGTGTAAACACCTATTTAATGAGTTTTTGAATACATCACACATTTGTGCTCGAGTACTATTAAATACTCATAGCCAGGAATTCTGATGTTTACATTTGAGCTCTGTGCTTGCTGGCAAACTCATATCTTGCATGCAGGATAGCATCGTGGAGTGCTGCATATCATAAGTTTAATCAGGACAGAGTGGTGCCATTAATTTCCAATCCTAACTTTAAATCAACGATTGAGTTCTTCATTAGAGCACAGGTCTGTCTGCTTTTAATGTGGGTGCCTATGATTAGTTCCAGTACAGATTGGCCTGCTTCCAGCAGTAGAAGGTATCAGGTTATTGCCAATTTTCCTTCCTACTCATGTATGATTTGTTTTTAGTCAGCCGGGTGTCTGACACATAATAATAATCCTTATATTTGATACAGCACTTTCCATGTCTTCTAGATGTCTCAAAGTGCTTCAGAATATACTGTAAAGAGAATTGACTGTATATTCGTGAGTGAAACGCAGCAGCCAATTGCACACACCAGTGTCCCACAACCAGTCGTGGATTGAAGTGACCAATTTACCATTTCTTTTTGCGGAAACCCATTACCATGCTTAAGATTATCCAAACCAAGCTGAGAATTCCATGCATGCCACCTACACATAGAAATTCCAGAGATATTTTCTGGGATGGATACGCACTCTCTCCCTGGAGGGATGCATCCTGCTTACCTAATTCCGGAAAGTAATAGGCACAGGTTGGAAGGAGCCAAGGCTTGCAGAACCCAGTGTGCCTTGGGGGGGGGGTGCTGGAGTCTAACCAGTGAAAACCGCATAGCTTGAGATCAATAGCACTGTCTGACAAAATTTCCTGCTACTTGTCCAGTTAGGACTTGTTGGGAAGTGCACCTGGCATTACTTCACCTCATCTGTGCCATACATATGCAGTACACAGCAAGTGACAGTAGGAAGCCGCCCATTGTTTTGCTCGCCCTTTTTAACACGAGATATTGAAACAAGACAAATACTATTTCATGGAATTGCTGCATGCAAAAAGCTCTGGGTATCAACACTTCTGTATTCTGTCCTGGAATATAACTGATGGTGTTAACAAAATGTTCCCTATGTTGACCAATAGTTGATTCTGGGATGAACTTGAGAATTACTGGTTTAGTGTCCAAATATATAGTCCTGCATGAGCCAGAGTCTCCTCTTTACAAGTCATTGGTGATAACCATCTTTGTCAAGCATTAAGAAAATGTTCCAACTGGTAGTCTGTCTGTTTCATCTTGTATGTCCGTTTCAGCTTTTTGAATTTTAGTGTTCAACCTTGTTCTCAAAAATTGTCACAATAACCTACCAATAGAATTACCTTATGAATTTTGGTTCTGATGGGTCAAATATGATTAAATCTAAATTTGCAAGTTAATTTTGTATAAATATGTAAATATATTTTATAAGTTGTATCTTATTTGGAAAACCTCAACTTGAGTTTTATTTCCAGCTTCGAAGATTCCAATGAAAAACACTGTTATGGCAAGGCTTTGAGTGTCATCCCTCGATGCTCAGCAATATCCGAATGAGCTGACTTTGTATTTCATGGTCAAGGATGGAATTGGTTTACAACGATCCATAGAATGTCTTCAACAGTAACCTGGGCAGTGGTTCAGATGAAAACTGTTGGGAGATGGATTTGAATAACCGATTGATTTTTTGGAAGTTAAACTGCTTGAAAAACTGTGCTTCCTACAGGAGCAATGACTAAGCAAACTACTATACTATGGATTCTTAAACAAACTTATAATTGCCTTCACCTATAGTGTCTTTTTTAAATTTAGATAAGTTATGCCCTTTGAGTTTTGTTGGATATGAACATTGATATACCTATATCAATACTAAAGTGGGAACATAGCCCTCATTTAAATTGTAAGCGAGCTTACTGCTACACTTGTAATTAAGTGTAATAAATCCATTTGAGAAAGTTTACAGTTGTTCAATTGAGTTCTGTAATGAATTGTGTAATTTGGAAGTCAGTTATGTTTACAGTTAAACTACTGTACCCAAATTATTTCTATAAGGGGTATATCTTTAAACAGTTTCTGGTTCTGATGTCACATTCAGGATTTTTCATCCCACGATTACTAAAAATGGCCAAAAACAGCAAACTTTTGAATAGAAAATTCTGAATTACAATTGATTTAACATGTTGTGGATTTTCAGTTTTTATATTGTATTTTATTTCATGAAATTGAGGAGTGCTTTATGGAGCAAATGCTAATATTTCCTGCAAAAAGCCAATTTTAATGTGATCCACAGATTAGTAAATATTAAAGGAACAAAGTTCATTTTTCTAAAAGCCAAGACAATAGTCCCTTGATCAAATTATTCAATTTATTCACACCAGTCCGATGCAGTTTAGTTCTATCTGATTGCAAGAACATTTCTCTGAAACTTGCTGCAAGTACCCATATAGTTACAATATTAAAAAAATCAAGTCTGTTGCTGAAAGTTTGTGGGAAAAGCCAAAAAGAATGATTTCATCATTTGAACTTGTGGATCTATATTCCATCCCACCAGAACCATATGGAAACTCCATTTTTCAATCTAAAACCCATTTTACAACTTGAAGACACACCAGTAATCACATCACTCCAGAATTTGTTGTCTTCTTTTGCAACTACTGTGATATTTTTGCATTTCTACATGTATTGTAAACATTTCCGCAAGACTATTTATGTACTATCCTGAACCACTTTAAGTTTATTTAGATCTGAAATCCCCCTTAATAAACTAACTAAAAAAAAACTTTTATTGATGTTCCTGCTACTTGCATTTTCATTTTACATTTCGCTTTAATTTTGGTTGTCAGTCCACATTTAAAAAAGGTGCTTAATGATAGAATCAATCTCAGCCAATGCATTTTGGGGGAAGAAACCACCCTATGTGCCTTTCACAGAATGTTTCACAGATCTTAGAGATTGTGGGAGGGAGAAAGAGGGGACAAGAAGAGATTTTTGGAGAGAATTCCACAGATTCTCAGTGTCTCACCACCAATGGTAGGGTGAATGGGACAGGGTAACTAAAGCAGAAAGTAGGCAAGGGTGTATGACCACAGATTAGGTAGGGTAAGGCAATGGAGGCACTTTAAAGCAAGAACAGGGATCTTAGTTGATCCATTTTTTTTTGCTCAGCTAGGTCTGTGGCACATAATAAAGATAATTGCATTTGCATGAGGACATCCTAAAGTGCTTCACAGAATATGCTGTAAAATAAAATGAACAAATACAGCAGCCAAGTTGCACGCAGCAATGTCCAACAAACAGATTAATCTGTCCCACCAATAACCCAAGGAGCCAGATCTGTCATCAGTGTCTTGGAGCAAACCTACTTTGTTCAGGAACTGCATTATAACACCACAACAAAGGATTGACTATTCAGTTATTCCATTCCCAGAATTGGAGCCAGCTCAGCCTCAGGAGAAATAATTACCACTTCCAAGACATTTGTGTATTGTGATTCTATTGAACAGTTCACCACACAACGGTCTTTGGAAATTAAACAAATGCTAATATAAAAACAACTAAAATTCAGAACAGATTTCTGAAACAGCTAAACTAACTGGGAGTTTGCTTATCAGAAGTACATCAACTCTAAGAATAAGAAATGGAAATAAGTTTATTAATAAAGTGCAACATTTTTGGCCAATCTCCATACAAGAAACAAATCATGTTTAAATACAAAATGTATACATTTATAGACACCATTAATTAACAATATTAACAACATACAGATGATTAAAAATTTGCAGGAGAGCAAGTTTTTTTTTTAAAAAAGCCTTTATAGATGGTTCAAGCCGAGGCTGATAGGGTGAAACCTCTTCTGTGCCAGAGTTCTACATGAAATTAGCTTCAGCCTAATCCTGGTGGGCAAAGTACAAATATACCTACCATTCAGCACCATTCTCATTTACAGCTTGCACAGGTATAAAATTATAATACTCGCATTTGATACAGCCCCTTTTCACGTCTTCCGAGACGTCTCAAAGTGCTTCACAGAATATACTGAAAAGTGAATGGACTATATTTTGTGGGCGAAAACATGGCAGCCAATTGCACACAGCAGTGTCTCACAAACAGTCGTGGATTGAGTGACCAATTTATTATTTTTTGAAGGAATTATTACCACGGGAAAAGCAATCTGCCAATTAACTAACAACCGGGTTCCTACTTACTCCAACTCCTCGATCTACCACTTCACGTATATTCACTTAAGACAGGAATCCAGATGTTCATTAATTTTGGATTCTAAGATTACAGTGCAACAGACAGGGCAATTTACAGTTATGCTGCCATGATCAGGGTTTGGGGTTTCAGTCATAGTATCCACCTGCGATGTTCTTGGGTTGGCACTTTCTCCAATATCTCGGTGCTGTGATTTACTCTGACTAAACTCATGTGCTCTGATTAATTGATCTACTCGTTTGGGTTCTAATGATTTGGGAAACACAGGTAAAACAGAATTTCTGGAAACATTTGTCACTGTCCGAAGCTTTTCATTAGTGGTTGTGTTATCACTGCTGCTGAGAGATTGCTGCGAAAAGCTGGAAGACTGTGGAGAGGATATTTTGTCCATTTGTTCCACCTGTTTAAATTCTGATAATTTGGGAAAAGCATGTAAAATTGAACTTCTGGAAAGGTCCGTCGCAGTCCGAACCTTTTTTTTAGCTTTTATGTCATCTCTGTTGGTGTCAGACTGTCGCGATGAGCTTGAATACTGTTGAGAGGAATTGAACATTTCAGAGTGCACTCTCTTCTGACCACTTTTACAGATGTCTTCTTTTACAGCTTTTGTTGATATGGGGATTTTAACAGGGGATCCATTGATATTGACAAATGCGTTTCTATTAGAAACAGATTTTTTAGGTGAACTTTTTAAGTTTGAACTGGAATGTTTTAGCAGCCAACCTGAAAGTGAAGAGGATAATCCATTGGCTGAATGACTAACTCCTGATGTGGCAGAGTTTACTGGTCTTACAGGTGGCAAAGAAACTGGTTTGTGCATATTGCACTGATCAGACTTAATGTCTGACATTGAACTATGTTCTGGATGCTGATAACCGTTCTGGAAAAATGGGCTAAGCAATTTGCTGTTCTGTGGAATCCTTCCTATGGTTGTGTTCCCTGAGAGTAAATCATCACGGTTTCCTCCAAGAGCATAACCTTTTCCATTGAATGGAAATAGAGAACGGATATCCACACCTGGAGATTGATCTAAACAATAGAATGAAACAAAGATTAAAAAATAAATATCACTGAAAATGTGCTTGTCTGCTGTGTTTTAAAATACTTCTTGCTTTAACTCTTATAACCTGTAACTTGGTGACACAAACGGTACACCAGGAACTGAAAACATTACTTTTTTAAAAAATAAAATGAAACAATCATAAAACTGTTTACTTGGATCATTTTAAAGATAGTCAGAGATTGTTTAATGTTGGCAAAATCTTAGCAATACATGTGGAGTCATAAAGATTTAATGCAATCAGTTATGCCCATGAATTAGATTTCTGACATCCACAATGAAAGTCCTAGAAACATGCACAATACCTTTATGCTTCACTGGCTTCGGTTGATTTATTGGAGTTTGTTCTGCTTTGCCTTTTTTTGGCTTCTTGTAATTTTCTGGCTCTTTGATTTTGATATATGTGCCACCACAAGTCTCCTGATGATCAGCCCACCATGGGTCATTAGCTGAAGGGGCTCTGTTCATTGCTCGTTTAACGTATCCAAAATAAGGTGCTCTTTTTTGACATGGCCCATCACAACGCCACCAGTGTCGACGGTACTCATCAACTTCATCATGGAATGTGTGATAGATCTGGAAGAGACCCATTTTTAAAAAAATGATTACAGTACAGTATCCCACTATTTTAAGACTAGTAATGATTCATAAAATAATCTGCAGATATCACTGGGTCCCATATTTTGTTCTAGTCAATTCATTTATAGATCAATGAATGTTCCAAATATTACTTAATTATTTACTAGTTGAAAGACAAAGTGAATTAAGTCCTTTGATTCTGTATATATGCTTTATAGTAATGTATTCAACCCAACATATGAAGAAAATTCTGTTTTTTATTGATATTGAAAAAATACAATATCTACCATATTACCATTATTTACCATCTGATATATTTTTGTAGAAATCTACCAACTTTACAAAATGTTAACTAACTTAGTTGGATTTAGCTTTCCATTCCTAGTGTACCTGCTGTTTATTACCCAAGTCAGATTGCAACAAATCAGACTCATAACTCTCAGTGAATGAGCCAAACATTTTTCTTTATAGCAGAATCCAATATTTTTCTAACTCTAAACAGGGTTCGATATACCCAAGGGCAGAAATGTCAGTTACAAGCATTTATATTTGCTTGTAGTTTTACACAGGCAGCTGTATGAATTCATTTACATTCCAGCACCACCGCCAAAGTCAGGACAACTGTAAACAACATCAGTGCAATGTGAAGAACTTTGAATTTTAGTGATTTCTTCTTTCCTCTGCTTCATTACCACATTCATTCCAACTCAAGTTGGAGTGGCAGAGTCAACTAATACAAGCTGTTGCAAACCAACAGTTAGTTATATGTGAGAAATTATCTAACCCCCCAAAATGAACAGTAAGTTTGGGAAAGATTGTGCAGAAAACCAAGATAACAACAAATTACATTTGTATTGTGCCTTTCACTTCAGGAGGACATCACGGAATGTATACTAAGGATGTATCAATAATGCCATATCTAACTGCAACTAATCTCCCCAAAAGTAATCATGAGCTATGCTGCATGCAGTACTTACAGTAACATTGGCTCCAGTCATCCCGTTGATCCTTTTCATGTGTTTGCAGAATTCCGGTCCATGAGAATCATGGTCTTTGTTGTTGTTTGTGACAAACAGTAGCGCATGGATCATTTCATGCAACAGTGTCTGATAAATATAGAAAATATTTTAAACAATTTCTGTACTGTTTTATCTAGTTACACTTCAAAACAATGCTTAATTGATCACAAAATCGGATTTTTCCCCACAAAAGTGGCTCTTAATCTGAATCTTAGAAGTGTACCACCTACTTACAACAAGTTACATTTCCTGATGTGAAAGGCGCTATACAAATGTAATTTCTTACACTGAACTTGTATATGGCCTCTCTGAGTGTTTTGAACCAATGCTTACAGAACTTAATTTTAATCAAGAGAGCCAGCAGAAAGAACATTTCAATACATCCCAGTGGTTTTGAACCTGCTACATCTGCTAAGAAATGGAGAGTAATTTGGTTTCTCCATAGAATTTTATTTTTAGAAAAAAATTTAAACGTGGACTACTAAATCGAATATTGATGGAAGTATTACCTCAACCAAGTCTCGTCGGGGTCTCAGCTTCAATAAAGGTTCACTGATACGGATTGAGCACAGGCCTCCTCTCCCTTCATAGCAGCATACTCCTGCACATCTAGAACCAATTCATATTAAACCATTACTATGATTTATTCACCATATTAATACCATCAGTCGCATTAAAACAAGAAATTAAATTGATTTCAAGATTTTTTTAAAGACAAAAAAATTACTGCAAGTAAGATGAAAGCACACAATGAGTATCACCCAAATAATTTTTCACCGAAGGGCTGTTAATGTGGAGCCACAGTAGCATTTAACAGGAAATTAAGTAGTTAATAATCAATCTATAATGAGGTTTAGATTTTGTTCCAGGTGACCGATTCAACAACAACAAAATTACATTTATAGAACACCTTTCACGTCAGGAGGACGTCCCAAGGCGCTGGCCTATTCTCTGAATCCATCAAATAGATTAGCTTTTTTAGTAAATTTGTAGGAGAGAATAATGTGCTGAACACTGAACAAACTCTCATTTGAATTTAACAGCAAATTGGACTAACAAAACACACAAATTCCTTCAGTTGTAACATTTAATTCAAGAACCTCTGACAACTCAGTGTCAGACAAGGCTATGAGTTCAAGTCCCAATATAACAATAACCCTTGCATTTGATATAGCACTTTTCATGTCTTCTAGATGTCTCAAACCGCTTCACAGAATATACTATAAAGTGAATTGTCTGTATATATTTGTGGGCAAAACGCAGGAACCAATTGATAGGTTTCCACATGTGTCAGACAGGTTTCCACATGTGTCAGACCCCCCAAAAAATCTGTCTGCAAGTCCTATTTTGAAAGCCACCTCTTCAAACCTACCTACAATCACTTCTCCCTTCCTGTTTTGATGGCTGAACCGGGCACTATCAAACAATTAGACACTATCCTACCCCCTGCCCAGTGCAGCCCCACATGGACCTCAGATTTCTTTCTGACCTTTTCAATCACAAAACAGGTTGTGTGGTCACCTGAAGGTGCAAGGATGTGAAAAAGGTTAGAGCCTGGGCCATCCGCAGCAGGTTCCCAATGATAATAACAGCGCTCCGTGAAGGGCGCAATATAAATGCAAGTTGTAGAAATAAATGCAAGTTGCAACTGTTGCCTTGGGACGTCCTTCTGACATGAGAGGTGCTATACAAATGTAATGTGTTGTTGGTGTTGAATGTGGGCAACTTAGAATTTATGTTCTAAATGTGTTGGAAGGAAAATAACAGCGGGTTGCAGTAATGATTAGCGGCTTCCACAGCGGGGGGGGGGGGGGGGGGGGGGGGGGCAACGGACGGTTCAGGATTTGCACCGAACTGGGGGTTTCCATCAGTGAACGTGGCCGCGGGTCATCGACAGCAACACGAGGTCTAACAACAGGACCTCTGCCGCCAACTTACAGGGTCATCCGCGGGCTCCACCTGACCTCCACCCCGGCCAGTTTACCCCAGAAGAACATGTCGTCGAACTGCAGGAACAGGGCTCGCAGGTCGGGGCTCGGGTCTATCAGCTCCCAGGACTCGTCCACCACCGACAGCGGCTTCTGAGGGGCGCGCCTCGCCCACTCCTCCACTCCGCCTTGCCGGCCATTGCAGAACAAGGCCGCCGAGCCTGCGGCCGCGGGACTTGCACTTGCCCCCGATGCTGCCGCCTCCTCCCGCTGCAGCTCTTCCTGTAGCTGCAGCGCCAGCAAGTAATCCACACCGTCCATCCTCGCCACCGGCCGCCCCGACTGCCTGCCCACTCGGCGCATGCGCTCTCCGACTGCCTGCCCACTCGGCGCATGCGCTCGCTGACTGCCTGCCCACTCGGCGCATGCGCTCTCTGACTCCAACCGCTCCCACAACGGTCAAAATTCAAAGGTCGGCCTGAAACGCTCGCGCGGGTCACGTGACGGAAGGCGGTGCTCGTCCCTCGGCCCCGACAGAACATCGCGGCTCAAACCTGTCAGCTGAGGGGGCGCGCAGCGAGTCACCGGCCCTGGCGGGGAGGCGGAGGCAAAGGTGAGGTGATAGGCGTTGGCAGTTCCTGCCTCAGGAGCCGGAGCCAAGGCTTGTGTGGGAGCGAGTGCGGTGAGATCAGAGGTTTGTCCGGGGAGGTGGTGGTGGGAGTCCGGGGCGGCCTCTGTTCCTGTGTTTGTCGCCGCTCACACACATAAAATGGCGGAGTCGGGTGGAAAGCTGCGGCGGCAGCTGGAAGCCATCAACTTCGAGCCGACCCTGTACGTGAAGCAGCTGTCTCAGCAGTCGGATGGGGACCGAGACCTGCAGGAGCACAGGCACAAAATCCAGAGCCTGGCCGACGAGACTGCCCAGAACCTGAAGAAGAACGTCTACAAAAACTACCGGCAATTCATCGAGACGGCCAAAGAGATCTCGTACCTGGAGAGTGAGATGTACCAACTGAGCCACATCCTGACAGAGCAGAAGACCATCATGGACAGCATCACCCAGAGTCTGCTCTCGGCAGACAAGGACCAGGCCGCCAAAGAGATGCAAGCCGCCTTCCCCAAAGATACGGAGGAGATCAAGCACCGCACCCTGACCACACTCTTGGAGAAGGTGGAGGGCTGCAAGAACATTCTGGAGACCCCCGGCCGCTTCCTCGTCTACAACGGGGACCTGGTTGAGTACGACATCGACACCATGGCCCAGATCCAGCGGGTCCACGCTTTCCTCATGAATGACTGCCTCTTGGTGGCCACCTGGCTACCCAACCGTAGAGGGGCCGTCCGCTACCGTTACAATGCGCTCTACCAGCTGGACAGCTTTGCCACGGTCAATGTCAAGGACAACGGGCCAATGAAGGACATGTTCAAGATCCTCATGTTCCCCGACACCCGCATCTTCCAGGCCGAGAATGCCAAGATCAAGAAGGAGTGGCTGGAGATCCTGGATGAGACCAAGAAGAACAAGGTGCTGAATGAACGCCTCAAGAAGGAAGAGGAGCGGCCGCTTTCGCCCAAGACGCCTGAGGCCGCCATCAACCCATTCGAGGAGGATTTGCCAGCCTCTGGCGAGGAGTTTGTGGATTTGAGCCTCGAGTGGATTCAGGAGTTGCCCGAGGACCTTGATGTGTGCATTGCCCAGAGAGACTTTGAGGGGGCTGTGGACCTTTTGGACAAACTCAATGAATATCTGAGCAACCAAGCACTCACCCAGCCTGTGAAGGAGCTCCGCAACAAAGTGGAGGAACGGGTCCGCCAGCTGACCGATGTGCTGGTCTTTGAGTTGTCCCCCGACCGCTCACTGAGAGGTGGTCCTAGGGCTACCCGCAGGGCAGTGTCGCAGCTGATTCGCCTGGGTCAGTCTACCAAAGCTTGTGAGCTCTTCCTTAAGAACAGGGCGGCCGCCGTGCAGACTGCCATCAGGCAGCTTCGAATTGAGGGTGCCACCCTGCTCTACATCCATAAACTCTGCAACATTTTTTTCACCAGCCTCCTGGATACAGCCAAAGAGTTTGAGATGGACTTTGCAGGAAACACTGGTTGTTATTCAGCCTTCATTGTGTGGTCTCGTGTTGCCATGAAGATGTTTGTAGATGCCTTCAGCAAGCAGGTGTTTGACAGTAAAGAAAGTCTGTCCACAACAGCTGAGTGTGTGGAAGTTGCAAAAGAGCATTGCAGTAAATTGAGCGAGATTGGCCTGGACCTTACCTTTACTCTGCAGGCTCTTCTAATTAAGGACATCAAAGCTGCTCTCCAGAGCTATAAAGGCATCATCATGGAAGCCACCAAACATCGCAACTCTGAAGAAATGTGGAGGAAGATGAACTTAATGACACCAGAAGCTTTGGTGAAATTAAAGGAAGAGATGAAAAATAGTGGTATCACCAACTTTGATCAATATACGGGCGATGATTGCTGGGTGAACCTCAGCTACACTATTGTGGCCTTCACAAAGCAGTTGATGGCTTTCCTGGAAGAAGGATTAAAACTGTATTTTCCAGAACTGCACATGGTTCTTCTGGAAAGTCTTACAGAAATAATTTTAGTGGCTGTGCAGCATGTTGACTATAGTTTACGGTGTGAACAGGAACCAGAAAAGAAAAATTTCATCCGTGAAAATGTTTCCTTCTTGTATGAGACAGTCCTTCCCGTAGTGGAGAAAAGGTTTGAGGAAGGAGTTGGAAGGCCAGCCAAACAACTTCAAGATCTCCGGAATGGATCTCGAATCATTCGTATAAACCCAGAAAGTACAAATTCTTTTGTGTAATAGTTTGAACAGTTTCTAAACTGTGCACAAATTAATACAGAATGCACTGTACTGCTTAATGCACATATGACAATGAATGACTTCTTTAACATTGCTAGCACATAAGCAATAGTTGACAAAGTACAGATGTCCAAATGAATTTCATGCATTATGTTATACACAACATTAAAATATGTCCTCTCAAAAGAGATTTAGTACCCATTACTTTCAGTAGTACTTGTCCTATTTATAATTGCTCAGAGTGGATGCTTTAATAAATCTATAATTCACTAGTAAGTATCATTTGCCTAATTCTGAAATTAAGTTTAATCACAAATGAAAGGTGGGGGAGAAGGTGTTTCCAATGTACAAACCTAACAATATTAATATTGCATTTGGTCAGCAAAAAAACCTTGTAAGACCGAACTGCAGAAATAAATTGGTTGGCTGAACCAGATACATTTAGTGATATTGTTGGAATATTATCATTTCATGTTTTTAGGAGGCTTGAACATTAGTCTTCAGAAAATGATTAACCTTTGGTAACAACTAATTCTACAGCTCATCAAAGCAGCGGTGCTCGTTGTGCTGGCTTCTTTCTAAACATTTATACTAAAATTCACTAAGTTATTTCCTGTATTAGCATGGTCCACATGACAATTATAGACTTGCAAACTTGCTTCATACTTCTAACTGAACTATCGTACATATTTTTGCACATATTGGCATCTCTTGGGCAATTGAGCATTTAGTACAAGCTATTAATATGGATTCAGCACAACACAATTATTGGTATATTTGCTCTGTTTTCAGATTCATTTGAACTGTTTCCACAAATAAATGAACACTAGTATGACACTACAAACAAATCCTTACCTTGGGGTGTAAGCTCCATTTTATGCTGCTTTAAATTGAGGAATAGCCATGTAAAAGTTATTAAAAGTTAATATTATTCCCCTATCGCTGTTCTGTGGATAAGTACCTGCAATTAATGATGTGTATACATTACCACTTTTTTTTATAAATATTGTTAAATATTTTGGAGCGAGTGTCAAAACTAGAAGTTTCATCTATGTTAATTTTCCTTTCTAACAAAATCGCCTCTTCTCCCAAGTGAGCAGAATTGCACAGATGGTGGTTGAGCAGTTCACACAGCTTCAATTGTGTATAAAATGGGATCCATTTTAAAAAAAGGGGGTTTAAACTGGTAATAATAGAATACCTTATGTCCTTTTTAAACTGTGTATGTGGCCTTAGTGTTGATGGTTTCAGAAATATTATCGACCATAAATAGATATTTGCAGTCGTATATATTGCATGTTTGTATCCTGTGATTGCTTTATAGACCTTTTCTTCTTCCTCTTCCCCCATGCTAATATTATTTGCTAATATACCGCATGATGGCATGAAAATTGTCACACTGTACTTCATTTAATATTCTTCTGCAATGTTAAGACCATTATTTATGTGAATAATGTTCAATTATTTCAATCTTTAAAATTGTAAAATGAGTTAACGCTGTTTAAACCTGAATAAACAATAGGACTCGGTTTCTGGAAAAGCAGTGAATTTGGGCTAGAATGACTCCTATCTTCATGCTCACAGAGTGTTGTACATATCTGACATCATTAGCTTGTGAACTGTAGATTCTCATTTATTCTCTGGAATAAGAAGCAGCTATTTTTTCTGTGTAGCTGTGGAACTCTGAGCCAAATGCTGCACTTAAATTGTGGTTCACTCAACCTTTAGTAGCCATTATACGAACACAAGAAGTTAGGAGCAGAAAAGGGTACAAGCCTCCTTCACCACAGGTGATTCTTTGATCTACAACAGATGTCCTCACCTCATTCCTCCTTGTCATATTCCTTCATATTTCTATTTCCCCAAGTAAATCTGTCAAAACAATTTCTCGTCTGACTTATTGAGACAAATTCTAATTATTTTGCCTCAATCATAATCCTTGCCCCCGCTCCCCGCTGCAGATCTCAGACTAGGATGAAACTCCAGTGCAGTACTGGAGGAAAAGCTGCATTGCTGGAGACAATCATTTGCACTAAACGTTAAATCAAGACTCATTTTGTTCAGGTGAATTTTAAAGATAGCTTGAATTGAAAATAGAAAGAAAAGTTTCCTGGGGTCTTGGTGTACAATCCTCTTTCTGACGGGTTCCTCCATTTGCAAACTCCAGGATCAAGCAATGAAGTGGATTTGTGGCATGCATGGGAAGCGGCTGCAAGGAGGGAGGGCTGCTACCTCCACTGACCAGGACGTGGAGTTAGCTTTAATAATAAATAATAACAATCCTTGCATTTGATATAGCACTTTTCACGTCTGCTGGACGCCTCAAAGCACTTCACAGAATAATATAAAGTGAATTGACTATATTTGTAGGAGAAACACGGCAGCCAATTGTGTACAGGAGTGTCCCACAAACAGTTGTGGATTGAAGTGTTTGTTTTCTTGAGGGAATATCAGGCATGTGGAGTAAGGAAACTTGCCTATGGTTTCAAACCCAGGTCTCTCACTTGCGAGGCAAGGGCTCTAACCACTGAGCTACAGGAATCCACAGTTTTTGATAGCAGGTACCTCTGTTTGCGAAAGACCCTCGCATGAGGGTCTGGATTAAGCAGTCGGTGCAGCATTGGATTTAGACCTTGAAGAAATACAACAATAACTTGCAATTATCTAGCACCCCTCATATAGGGTAATGTCCCAAACCGTATGGCAGCTGGTATGTCACAAGCTGTCCTATAAAGGTCCTTTTACCACGTTGAAAGCAGATATCATCTGATAGCTAACGAGGAAACTAAGGCTTGGGGTGACAGGTGCTGGAAGGCATTACCTGGAGTCCGAATTCATGAACATATATCTGTACATCCAGCACGGAATCCACCTTGGTTGGCTTGCAGAGAGGTAAGCAGCTGCTGCTCAGCTCCACACCTCTAACTGGTGGAACCATTGCTCAATTGGAAGGGATGTGTGCCCAAGCTGTGAACAGGAAGATGGTGGCAATTCTCTCATCCATCTTGTGCTGCCCACCAGGAGACTTGCTGGGAGTTCCTGGAACCTGCCATTAATGAGGGTTCAAACCTGCACTTGTCAATGTCAAATGACCAGCTAGTAACTATCCCCGTCTGTGTGTGTGCGTGTGTGTGCATGGGGTGGGGGGGTTGCCAAGCGAGGTCTCCTTGTAGATGAATTGCCTCCAAGCTGACACATTAGGCATAAAAATGACAGAATTGAGCCAATCCTCTGTGGTGGTCTTGGTTGTCCAGTTCCTGAGCTAGTCCAGAGCTTCCTCATGAGTGCTCCAGGTCACTGCTTATGATAGCACAGCCAGCCTGGCTCAGCAGCAGGCCTTGTGTAAATAATGATTAATTATGGATGATTATGTTATGTATGATCATGTCTATAAGCGTTAATTCACATAATTATGGGTCATGTACACGCTGTCGTTTAATACTGAATGACCTGTGAAACCCCTGAGGTAAGCAATAAGAAGGCTGGTACAAACTGGTTTAGCGCTGTCAAAGAAGTTGGGACAAAAGTTACATTTTCCAGAACAAAGAAACATGTCAGAAAAACAGTTTCAAGGTCAGGGACAGGGAGGGCGAGTGGGAGGGAGGGACAGGGAGGGAGGGATAGACAGGGAGCCCGGGACAGGGAGGGAGCCCGGGACAGGGAGGGAGCCCGGGACAGGGAGAGGGAGGGACAGGGGGAGAGAGGGAGGGACAGGGGGAGAGAGGGAGGGACAGGGGGAGAGAGGGAGGGACGGGGAGGGAGGGAGGGACAGTGAGCCTGGGACAGGGGGAGAGAGGGAGGGACGGGAGAGAGGGAGGGACAGGGGGAGAGAGGGAGGGACGGGGAGAGAGGGAGGGACAGGGGGAGAGAGGGAGGGACAGAGAGCCTGGGACAGGGGGAGGGAGGGACAGAGAGCCTGGGACAGGGGGAGAGAGGGAGGGACAGGGAGCCTGGGACAGGGGGAGAGAGGGAGGGACAGGGGGAGAGAGGGAGGGACAGGGGGAGAGAGGGAGGGACAGGGAGCCTGGGACAGGGGGAGAGAGGGAGGGACAGAGAGCCTGGGTCAGGGGGAGAGACAGGGAGCCTGGGACAGGGGGAGAGAGGGAGGGACAGGGGGAGAGAGGGAGGGACAGGGAGCCTGGGACAGGGGGAGAGAGGGAGGGACAGGGGGAGAGAGGGAGGGACAGGGAGCCTGGGACAGGGGGAGAGAGGGAGGGACAGGAGCCTGGGACAGGGGGAGAGAGGGAGGGACAGAGAGCCTGGGACAGGGGGGGAGGGACAGAGAGCCTGGGACAGGGGGAGAGAGGGAGGGACAGAGAGCCTGGGACAGGGGGAGAGAGGGAGGGACAGGGGAGAGAGGGAGGGACAGGGGAGAGAGGAGGACAGAGAGCCTGGGACAGGGGGAGAGAGGGAGGGACAGGGAGCCTGGGACAGGGGGAGGGAGGACAGAGAGCCTGGGACAGGGGGAGAGAGGGAGGGACAGAGAGCCTGGGACAGGGGGAGAGAGGGAGGGACAGGAGCCTGGGACAGGGGGAGAGAGGGAGGGACAGGGAGCCTGGGACAGGGGGAGAGAGGGAGGGACAGGGAGCCTGGGACAGGGGAGAGAGGGAGGGACAGGGAGCCTGGGACAGGGGGAGAGAGGGAGGGACAGAGAGCCTGGGACAGGGGGAGAGAGGGAGGGACAGGGGGAGAGAGGGAGGGACAGGGGGAGAGAGGGAGGGACAGAGAGCCTGGGACAGGGGGAGAGAGGGAGGGACAGAGAGCCTGGGACAGGGGGAGAGAGGGAGGGACAGGGGGAGAGAGGGAGGGACAGGGGGAGAGAGGGAGGGACAGAGAGCCTGGGACAGGGGGAGAGAGGGAGGGACAGGGAGCCTGGGACAGGGGGAGGGAGGGACAGAGAGCCTGGGACAGGGGGAGAGAGGGAGGGACAGAGAGCCTGGGACAGGGGGAGAGAGGGAGGGACAGGGAGCCTGGGACAGGGGGAGAGAGGGAGGGACAGGGAGCCTGGGACAGGGGGAGAGAGGGAGGGACAGGGAGCCTGGGACAGGGGGAGAGAGGGAGAGAGGGAGGGACAGTGAGCCTGGGACAGGGGGAGAGAGGGAGGGACAGGGAGCCTGGACAGGGGGGGGGAGGGACAGAGAGCCTGGGACAGGGGGAGAGAGGGAGGACAGGGGGAGGGAGGGAGAGAGGGAGGGACAGGGAGCCTGGACAGGGGGAGAGAGGGAGGGACAGGGGGAGGGAGGGAGAGAGGGAGGGACAGGGAGCCTGGGACAGGGGGAGAGAGGGAGGGACAGGGGGAGGGAGGGAGAGAGGGAGGGACAGGGGGAGAGAGGGAGGGACGGGGACAGGAGGATCAGGAGCAGAGTCACGAGGGCTGCAGTCCCCCTGACCCCGGGGGGGGGAGGGGGGGGGGAGACACCGATCGCCTCCTTCCTGATTGGCCCGTGCGGGTGTGACGACGGTGAGTGACGGGCCGGGGGTCGCGGTGATTGGTTGGGTTGGTCCCGGGCGGGGCGGGGCGGGGCGGGGGGCGGGGCAGAGGGCGGCGATGGCCCAGCCGCCGGGGGAGCGGGTTGTGGTGAGGGCCCTCCTGGAGCTGCTGCAGGCGGGCGGGCAGCTGCTCCGCACCGCAGTGCAGGAGGCCGGCGCGGGTAGGCACCGCGCGAGTCAAGCGGGCGAAGGTCGGGAAGGCAGCTGTGCAGCCCGGGACTGGAAGCCATTGCAGTCCGCGTCCGATGAGGAGATAACAGGCCCCGGTAGCTCTCTGCCCCTCTTAAAGGAGCAGCTCTTGCCCCTCCCTTGGCTGGTTTGTCATGGAGCAGTCTGGCTCAGCTCATCACCTCTCAGACCTGGTTCATAGCTCAAGGACTTACTATTTGTCCCCTTCCCCCCCCCATCACCCCCCCCCATCAAATATACAGTCAATTCACCCACAAATATAGAGTCAATTCACTTTACAGTGTGTCCTGTGAAGCGCTTTGGGACGTCCTCCCGACGTGAAAAGCGCTATGTCAAATGCAAGGATTATTAGTATTATTATTATTATCATCATCAAATTTTGTTTAAATGCAGCGAATCCTTTTTTTTCCCGAGTGAGTTCTACGTTCTGTGAGATTGCTGAGGCTAAAGGAACATTGTGACACGGTTGTAAACAAGGATGCGGGAATGTCAGCGCACACTGCCAGATGAAATGCTGGAAAAACACATTTTGAAAATGTTCGGGTACATTATATCTGCTTTATAATAATAATAATAATAATCCTTGCATTTGATATAGCGCTTTTCACGTCAGGAGGACGTCCCAAAGCGCTTCACAGAACACACTGTAAAGTGAATTGACTGTATATTTGTGGGCGAATAACCTGCATTTGCAGGGTAGGTTTTACGCAGTACAAAAGCAGAGGTATCTGAACCTGCCCAGAATGGTTGTTGAAGTTCCTTTCAATTGTACTTTGTTCAGAATACTCTGCGTGTTGCTGAATTTACTTGGGAGTGTTTTCGCTAATATGCTGGAGCTATTATGATGCTGTTTTTAACATGCTGAGTAACCAGTTTCCCAGTTACAATATATGCTTTTTAAATAACATTGCGCTTCAATCCAAAGTAGCATCAAATCACATTTGAGTCACCTGAAAGAAAACAAATTGCCTATAAAATGTAAAAGTAAACTTAAGAGGTCCACACTTATGAATCAATAACAGCAACAACTTGCCTTTATATAGAAGCCTTCACGCGGGACAGCAGGAGGCTGGCTCAGGTAGTGGCACTCAATGTGTTGAAGGTTGTTGGGTTCAAGACCCACATTAGGACTTGGAACTCATATAATCTAAGATGACATTCGGATGTAGTGGTTGGGGAGGTGGGAGTGCTATATTGTTGGAGATGCTGCTCTTGGGTTAAGACTTTATGTAAATGTAAGTCCAGTATTATACAATTTTTGTATTGAAAATGTCTCGGAGTGCTGTACATTGGTGGGTCTGGACAACAAGCAAAGGGGCTGAGGGGTAACTGCTAAGGTGGAAATCATCTTGGAAAGAGATAAATATGTTAACAATTCAGGTTTGACTTCTGATTAAAGTTTTGGTTTAACCTTGTGTATGATTAGTGCATTGTATTTACATTCTGATAGAGAGAAATATCTACAAGCTGTCGGACTTTATCCTGATAGTAGCTTGAGAAAAAATATTGTTCGGTTGAGCAGCACACCTAAAATGTAATTAGCTTTCTCTTTCAGAAACTGACTGACCTGCTGTTTTTTTCAGCATTTCCTTTTTTAATTTCCGTTTTCCACCATTCAGTTTTTCTTCTTACCTTTGCTTGGGGAAAAAAGTATTATTGTTTTACCCACAAAATATAGTCAATTCACTTTACAGTATATTCCGTGAAGCGCTTTGAAACTTTTCGAAGATGCGATAAGGTGCTATATGAAATGCAAGGGTTATTATTGTGTCTTCCTTCAACAACTTTAGAGCATAAATTCTAAGTTGCCTAGATCAACACCAAATATACGTTATATAGAACCCTACAGAGGCCGAGTTGGGGTGGGGAAGGTTGGGAAAGGTGCCTGAAAGGATGGCTGAAATTAAAGATCTTGGCGGCTTTAAAGGTGTGGAGGGAGAGGGCGGAGAGGAGAGGCTGCTGGATGGAGTTCCAGACTGTCAAAGACACTGGTACTAGGAGATGCATGATCATGCTCCCAGATTGCTCATCCTCCTCTCCCCTTCCTGTATCCCTGAGTGAAAGTGCCTTCCTCCCTCCACCAGATGGCACAGCTGGCAGCATGAACTATTGTGTTAGAGGAATTGCTTTTCAACCTTTTGCATACCAGACATTTTCACGTTCTTAAAACGTGGGTTGGGGTTGACCGGGGGTTGGTTGGGGTTGACCGGGAGTTGTGGGATGCATGGAAATCTCAGCTTGGTTTGGATATTCTTAAGCATGCCACATATGTCAGATACCTTCTGACCAAACAAAAATCGAATTAATCCGTGTTTTCCTGTTTTTTTATTTAGGTACAGCCCAAGAATATGTTTCCCAGAAGATCTGGCATCTGGCTGGAATGATACAAATATATGAAACGTTTCTGAAAAAGTACAGTACATTTCATTGTTTCTTTGCTCAAATCTGCTGTATACCAGTTTTATGTTGTGGTTAAAATTAACATATTTCAGAAAAAGAGTATGTATTTCTGTACCTTGGGAAATCAGTTTATCATTGGTCATGTGGCCACTAAAAATAATACAATACGATTGACTGGATGTCTGAGCTGTTGCAAGGCGGAGTTGAGGGGAAAAGATGAGCGAAAGCATGTTTATTAAGATAGGTGGAGCAGAGAGGTCAGGGACATGAAGCAGACCAGTGTTAGCTAAGCAGAGAAGAAGATTGGGTTGGGAGTAGAACGTGATTAGCAGCGGTGAAGCTTCACACTATCTCTGCCTGTGAATCTCTCTCCCAGACAACTTCTTGGTAGAAGTTCAGATGTCAGGTTAAGCATCACTTGAAATGTTGTTGGTGCAGCACGTCCTAAGCTATGGGGAGGATCGTTGCTTGCTGGTTGCTCTGTTCTGTGCTCCCAGCGTTCTCCAAACTCAAATTTGTAAGATCTCTGTCCTTGCTTGAGTTGTCCACCGCTATTGTCATGCATGGACTACAGTATATTAAAAGAAAGGTGCATATTATAGCAGAGTGGAGCTTGGAGTGTGGGATGGCATGGCATCATTAATTCAGCCCTCCCTGACCTTAGTGTATGTTACTGGATCTTGTGCCTCCAAGTATTTGAAATATTTTTCTTATTAAAGCTTGTCAGTAGCGAAGAGAAGTGATGCTGAAAACCTGTGGAAGACTTTATATCAGTAAGTATTAACAATTGTGCTTGATCAGTAAATACTAAACTATTTTTTTTGGAGTCGGGGGGGAGGGCAACTGAGGGTGTCTGACATAAGTGGAAACCCACCACCATGCTTAAGAGTATCCAAACCAGACTTGAGTTCCATGGATGACACTTACACGTGGAACTTGTTGTTGTTGAAATGCCAATGTCTGGAATGGAATACACACTCTCTCCCCAGAGGGATGCACCGTGCATACCTAATACTGGAGAGTATTAGGGGCCGGTTGGCAAGAACCATGTTTGGGGACCTCAGAGTATCGTTTGAGGTACTCCTGGAGTTTACCTGCTTAGCTTACCATTGAAAGTAATGTCTGGCAAGCTTCCTGCTGTTTGTCCAGCGAGGACCACTCCACTCTTTAGTGTTCTGGCTTGCAGGGTTAACAGGAGCTGAGTGGGAACAATCCCTGCCCACAGTGACGGGTCTGCCCTTCCAAGTCTTGCCAATGAACCAAGGTGATTGTGCTATTATCAGCTGTGCCCTGGATTGGTATGAACCCCCCGGCTGGAGAAGTGGATGACTGAGCCACCACTAAGGGGTGACTTGATTTCAACATTCCATTGCGGAGCACGTCAACTTGGAGCCAGTTCAACTTCAAGGAGACCCTGCTTACCTACCCCCTCCTGCTCCCCCACCCTCAGGAAACATGCAATCTAGTGGTTTGAAAGGCAACTGCAGTGCTTCGAAGTGACAATACATTTTAGGGAACTTGACCTGCAAGTGATGAGTGTCATGGCATAATAATCCATCAATTATTGTAACTATTTCTAAGTATATTTTGGTCAATTGCAGTTCTGCCGCTGTTCGGGACCATGTTGAAGACTTGCTGCAGTTTGAGGTAATACCATTGTGGTTATGAAACTGTATCTTTGTTATAGGGCAGCTGCCAAGGTGATGTCTCAAGGAGATTAAATATGTCTGTTGTAACGCTTGAATTAGTTCACTTTCAATTCACACGTTAGACCTTGAAGTGACCTGGACAAGTCAGGGCCATAACACTCACCACTTGCAGGTCAAGTTCTCTCGTCAAAATGCATTGTCACTTGGAGGCACTGCAGTGGCCTTTCAAACCACTAAAACCACAGGTATTTGAGGAGGGGAAGGGGCGAGGCTACCAGAGGGTGGGTGGTGTTAATTGTTAGTGGAGCCCCTGCTCTAGATATAATCAATGAGCTGGGATTGGCTTTCCATTTTACTTGTTGCAAATCCAGCCTGGAAAGACAATTTCTAGCCAATGATTTTCATTTTGCACCCAAAAAAGAAGGAAACGATAGGCAAGTTGCCTTACTCCACACTCCCCTGTTTACCTGGCAGTAAGTGGGAACCCGGTTGTTAGTTGGTTGGCAGATCGCTTTTCCGGAGGTAATAATTCCTTCAAAAAAAACAATAATTTGGTTACTTAATCCACGACTGTTTGTGGGACACTGCTGCGCTCAATTGGCTGCTGCATTTCGCCCACAAAATATAATCAATTCACTTTACAGTATAAAACAAAACACAAAATGCTGCAGATGCTGGAAATCTGAAAATAAAAACAGAAGTCACTGGGAACACTCAGCAGGTCAGGCAGCATCTATGGAGAAAGGAAAGTGAGTCAACGTTTCGGGTCCACGATCCTTTGTCATAACTGGACCCAGTTCTGACGAAGGGTCGTGGACCTAAAACGTTGACTCACTTTCCTTTCTCCATAGATGCTGCCTGACCTGCTGAGTGTTCCCGTGACTTCTGTTTTTGTTGTCACTTTATGGTATATTCTGTGAAGCGCTTTGAGATGTCGAGAAGACGTGAAAAGGCGCTATATCAAATGCAAGAATTATTATTATTGTTGTTGGGGGTCCAATCCTTCGAATGAGACTTTAAACCGAGGTTCCGTCTGCTTGTTCAGGTGGATGTTAAAGATCCCCAATTTGAAAAGAGAAGGGAATTTCTCCCAATAACCTGAACAAATCCCTCAAATCAAATAGGTCACTCACTCCATGTGGGACATTGCTGTGCACAAATAGGCTATTGTGTTTGCCTACAAATACACAATCGCTCAATTTTACAGTAAATCCTGTGAAGCTCTTTGAGACAGCTTCCTGACGTCTCAATTATTATTATTATTTAAGTGGGAGCTGGAAGAAAGAAGCAGAATGCTAAGTGATAGGATTTAAGAAAGAAAAATGAGAGAACAGGTATTACAACAGTAAAGAAACCCTTATGTTTGATTAACCAGTTGGAGTTTCCACAGGTCTGCTGAGACTAAAATGATTAAGGTGTTTTTGTAACAGTGGACATCTGTGTCTCTAGCTTGATTGGAATACTTTCCTGAGGAATGTGGATGTCAGTTTGAAGACAGACTGCGTTGGTATCCAATTAGGACTTGGTGCACAAGTTCCTGCGAGTATGCCATTCACAGACGCTAGAAGTGGCAAGTAAGTGATGCATTAACTCTGGGAATGCTTTGAAAAAGATTGGCCGAAAGAACTCAAACACTGCCCCAACAGTGATCATTTGAATCTGAGATCATTCAGAATACTGAATGCAAGGATTGTTAGGGTCATTATTCTGTGAAGCGCTTTGAAACATCTCAACGACGTGATAAGCCGCTATCTCAAATGCAACGATTATTATTTTTAATTTATGTTTTCTGGCATTTAAAACCCTTACCATATTGAGTGGCTTGCCTTTATTATCTTTCTCAGCATTCTTCATGAAACCTTTATCCAGTTCTTTTCCATACTAAACCAAATCAGCTCAACTTTCTTAACCCATCCTCATAACTTTAAATTTCCAGAAGCATTTTAGTTTCTCACTTCCTTATCCTCTCAAGAGAAATGATAATAAAATTCCATAAACGGCTTATACGTCAACAGTATAAACTCTTGATTTGTACTCTAATCCCTCTTTTCATGTAATCCGCACCTTTACATCAATTAGTGTATAATAATTCCTGGATTTCTTTTGATCAGAACATTGTATGACTTTCACTTTACAAATATTCCATAACAAACTGCATTTGGCATATACCACCTGGTTACCGTCAAACTCCAAATCCTTTTCCTCATAGTTCTTTCTGCCTCTAGGTGTCCCTATATCCAAAGGAAGGGGACAAGACGATAAAGTAATAATAATCCTTGCAGTTGATCTAGCATCTTAACATGTCTTCTAGATGGTTCAAAGTGCTTCACAGTTGTGGATCGAGTGACCAAATTATTATTTTTGGGAGGGATTATTACCCCCAGAAAACCAATCGACTAACAACCGGGTTCCTACTTACAGCTAGATAAACAGAGGTGTGCAGAGTAAGGAAACTTGTCTGGGAATCGAACCCGGGTCCACTCGCTTGTGAGGTGAGTGCTCTAACCCCTAAGCTACAGGATTCCATGATGAAAATGTAAAGTTTTGTCTAGAACAAGATCATTTCCTGCTTAAAATAGGCTTTAGTCAAACTAAAAAATGCATTGTTTCACATTTCCTTTCTTGTGTTTTTCCTTTCAGGGAGGTTGTACTTGAGGAGTACCAGCAGCACAATATGAAGCTGTTGCTTGTATTGTTGAGACATTTTTCCTGACTACCATGACGAGATCACTTGGCACAACTTCAAGCGAACCAGGTAAAACCTCTGCCAGAAAGAACTAAGCTTTGGACTTTTGCGCATATTCCCACTGCAGTCTAATGTGCGATATTTGCGAACTGGGTTTGTTGGGTTATTTGCGTCTTCAGATTTGTGTTTGACGATTTTGAGACTTGACCAACTTTCAAATCCCCAAAGTCCGAGGGGGGGAAACACAGGCATTCTGTTCGGAGTCAGATTTAAGCTGGATATTTTTATGACCTGAGGAATGAAGTAGTGCCTTTCAGACTCTTTGCCACCACCCACTGAAACTCATCTTCACCCCCTCCCTTGCCTCCTTCAAGACCTTCCTCTTTGACTGTGCCTTTGACCTCCACTTGCCCTCCACCCCTCTGGACTCTAAACCCCAGCTCGGGTCAAACCCTTCTCTGTTCAGGGTCTTGAGATGTCCTCCTGATGTGAAAGGTGTTATGTAAATGCAATTTGTTGTTGGTGGTGGGACAGGTTGTGGCACTTGCAACTGCAGCTCTATATGTGGAACTTGTTTAGACCAATGTAGAGTAGATACTATCTGATCCGTTGCTACTAACAAATGAATGTAAGCGAACACTAGATAACCACTCCCTGGCTTGCTGTCACTTCATGAGGAGGCTGAACTCCTCAGCATGTGAAGACCAGTGAAGCTAAACATGAATAGCAAGGTGAGTGCAATGTTAGCAGCAGAAACTTGGAGCCATTGCTGTGGAAGGCAAATAGTACCTACAGTTTGCAGCTGGGCAGGACGAGTGCCACATAGGATGCATCTGGGATTGTTTTCTGTTTCATGGGAAACCCTATAAGCTGGCTAGTGGACAGTCAGTAACTCTCAGACCAGCCAGTCCCCAACATACAGAGTCCTGCTTCAGTGAGACTCTCCCTACTGCAATGCAGTCAGAATAGACATTCCCTGATACAAGTGCAGATATTCAACACTACCTTGCACTGATGTTCATTTTGTTTGTGCTGAACTGTAAGTGCTTCCTGAACTCCATATTAAAATATGCTGGGAAATGGGACTGAAAGGATTGTTCTTTAAAAGAGCCAATGCAGACACGATGGACCCTAACCCTTACCACTTGAATAATATTTGATAAGGTGACCACCCTGAACTTCCCTTTGCTGATGAAAATACTCTTAAGACGCAGAGCAATATAACTGTGGTTTGAAGACTGAGCTGATCACTGCTTGTCTTTTGTGCAGAGTCTCCTGGATGCTGTGCCAATAAAGGTTATAGTGATCTCGTTTGGTTGTCAGGAAGGGGCTCTACGATGGCTTCAAGAGACTGGGTGTCAATACAATATGTTGCTGGATCCTAGCCGCAAGGTGATTGATTTTTTTTTACGAAACGAGAGTTTATATGGATGTTCAGAATCAGGCTGTTGTGCAGATATGTTAATAGCGTTGTTTGTAAAAGTAATAGAGTGACAAGCCTTTTAAAATTAACATTTTTATGCCAAGAAAATTCCAAACTGCCATTTGAGACCGTTTAAGCAGGGTGAGGCTAGAAGGAGCCAGTTCCATTTCACAGTAGTTTGACCTGTGCACGAGTTTTGTCTTAAACCATGCTACTCAAGTAAGCCACTGGTTGCCTGTTAAGTGACCATTTATATATTTTCCATGTGCACAGCAACACGTCACAACGTGTTGCAAAGATGTTTCAGTGTCCTGAGCTTGTTTACCAGACTTCTCTCCAAATCTCTTCTGCAATTAATGACAATCTATGCAGTTTTAGTTGGTTAATTTCCAGCAGTACCCCCAACACACACTGATGTCAATCTACGCCTAATACTCTCCAGAATTAGGTAAGCAGGGTGCATCCTACCAAGAGCCCATATATGGCACGAGTCCAGAAAAAGTGGGTGGCACCAGGTTTAGGCTAAAAGGCTTGTTGGGGTTGAGGAGCAGAAAAGGAAGAAAAGGACCAGAGAGACTAGGATCAATATAGTGGCTGTGAATACGGTGTTGCAGTAGTGTAGTGGAAAGGTCTGGTAACTAGCCCAGGGCACTGGAACATCCTTGTAACGCTTTGAAATGTGTTGCTCTGGAAATGGAAAATATGCAAATAGTCACTCAATATGCAAATGGTTGTTTATTTCAGTAGCAACATTCAAGATTTTCCCTTTTTAACTGTCGATCTAAGAAATAAAAGATGGTTTGTTAAAATGGATGTTTTTTAAAGGTATTTGGTTACACCTCGTTTCAAATGTGGTTTCTGCTCTATTCAGCTTATCCTTCCTCCTCTCCTCTCTCACACACACACACACACACACACACACATCATTTGACAACTCCGCTCCCAGTTGACTAAATATTGGTAAGCATTGCTATTTATCTGGTTTTAGACTTGTCATAGTTAAGCAACTTTAGTTATTCTTGTCACCAATCAATTGTGCTCTTTGTTTTTTGTCAGGGAATTTTGTAGGGAATTCTCTGACCTGGGTCACTGGTTGCATTTACACATGTAAATTAAAGGAAATCTATTCAAAACTTGCTCATCTGGTAACTTCAAAGGAAACTCATTGGCAACTCTTATCCAGCTACCCTGCTACTCCTCAAACTGATAAGAGACTTCTTTTCTATTCAAGAAAATCCGTACCCAAAGGTGGAAAATCAGTTGTCTGAGAATAATTCTGAGAGCAGTAAGGTCCACCTCAAGACTTGCCTCTTTGACCGCACTTTCGGTCATCTTTCTCCCCTTCCCGACACCCCAAGTTTGTGTGCAAGCCTTAGACTATGCAATGCCTTGGGACATCCTCCCAATTTGAAATGAATCTAAGTTTGCATTGTAATTTGTATTGTAGTGTAATTCAACTCAAATACGTGAGAGACTTTCATCCCATTGGATTCAAACTCTTAAGAGGTGAAAGGAAGGTTCAGTATATTGATATTTTATCTCCCAGGCCTCATAATACTGCCATCAATTTTATTTTCCAGTTGTACCATGCATTTGGTCTGGGAATATCTGTTGAAAAGGTCTGGAATGTTAACGTGCTTAACTACTACGCTGAGCAAAAGGTTGCCAGCCGTCCACTGCCAAAACAATTTGAAAACATAATAGATGATCCTCACCAGGTGAGCAAACAGTCTTTTAAACATGTGTGCAGAAGTGTTGTACACAGACCTATTGGTTGCAGAAAAATCTCTCAAGTGTTGATCTAAATTGTAATTTCTCAAATAGTACTTTGTATTCTGCATTCATATGATCAGAAATTTTTGGTTCTTTGAACTAAAGATTTTTTTTAGCATTATGCACTTCATCGGGAATTCCTTTTTAATGTTTAAACATATTGATGTGAATAACTAAATAGACGTTGGCTGTATTCGTCCATGATATCCAGTGAGAGTTTATCAATAAAGATGTAAGATTCTCTAACCTTTAACTCTAGCCTGTTTGATTAAAAACGTCCTATCTCAGAATCGACAGACACGAATTTCACCTTTTCGTATTCTGTAAGATGTGTAACAGTGTTGATAGCAACAGCAAAAAGAAACAACCGCTTCTGTCTTAGTTGAATAATAACCACAACAATTTTACATTATACACTGCCTTTCACTTCCAGAGGACGTCTTGCAGTTCAAAACACTGTCACTCCAATTTATAATACATCCGTGAAGCGCTTTGAGGCATCCTCCTGATGTAAAAGGCACAACTATGTGGGACACTGCTGTCCACCATTGGCTGCCCTGTTTTGCCCACAAAAATACATAGTCGATTCACTTTAACGACGCGATAAGACACTATATCAAATGTAAAAATTATTACTATAAAGCTCTTCAGAGCTGCCTAGGAACCTGAGCTGGGGATGATGGGGGAAGCTGAAAAGGCTAGGGGGGAAGTTGACCAAAGGTGGGAGGGAACTGTGAGGTGGAAGGACTCCCAAGATGGAGTTCCAGAGAGCGGGGTAGAATAGCTGAAAGCTCACCCACAAATACAGAATATACTTTCAATAAGTGAGCTTTTCTAGAATCCCACTTTTTCTCTACAAGTTTGCTGGCATAACCCATAATAGAAAGAGTCTGAAATTCCCGGGATCCTTTCCGGCGTCAGATCTTCTATTGCTTTATAAAAAGTGCACCAGGGAATTATCTGGCTAGACTCTGTGACCCTATCACCCCTATCCTTGCCCAGCTCCACTGGCTCCAGATCCCCCAGAGGATAGAGTTATCTATAGAGTTCTGCCGTCCACCCTCCTGATCCCAACACTCAGGTCCAAATCCCTAACTGTCCAGCTCCTTGGGGCATCCTCCTGACATGAAAGGTGCGATACAAATGTAATTGTTGTTGTTGTCTTCATTTATTATTTCTCTTTTCTACAGCTTGGTGGCGATTTTGGTTTAGACCAAAATGGAAAGGTGATCTTCTTCCATCCCAGCCAAAGTTCTACTGACAGACCCAGCTTATCAGAAATACTCAGCGCTCTGCTCTAAAACTGTGTTATGGTAATGCGACTATTCATGCCCTGACCCTCAAGTTGCTCTTAATAAAACCGGTATGAATTGAAGAGACCAGTTTAATTAGTTAACGCACCATTGACGTCAGTTTTGCAGTATTTCTTAACTGATTTCTTAATTATTAAGAAACCTTTTCCAGTAAACAAAATATCTCACCCACATCACTGTGACTTGAGGCAGTCCCACGCCTCAAGTAAGTAATTCGAGTAATTGTGATGGATTGGCACTCCCACAGGTTTCTAGAACCATCTTCTGGATTTCTTAATTTGAAAATGAGTTAAGAAATTCCACAAAATCTCCCCCCCCCTTCCCCCACATACAGTATTTGTGTGGCATCAGCGAATACTGCACATGGAGGGGGTGGGGAGAGATTTTGCAGAATTCGGATAGTAGGAACAGAAGTGAAGATCTTTTGTAAGAATAGCACTGAAGATCTTTTGTAAGGATCTTTGGTGAAATATTTGAAAGGTCCAATGACAGCTCGCTGGTATCCAGAGCTACCTGCCTACCTGGTTTACATTGATGAATGCAGGGCTTTAACTCAGGTTGTCTGAATGGAACTGCTGGATGTTTGGTAAACCAGGGAGGCACGTCACTTTGAAAAAAAATCCTTTAATAAGTATAACACGGCGCTAGCACTGAATGGTTAGCAAATGTTCTCTTTCCTGTGCATTATTTCAAATCCCAAGATTTTTTTCATTAAAATATATTCAGAATCAAACAAATCATAACGTAGGGGAGAGGGGGAGTCATGTTAATCATTCTTCTGATAATCTGACTTTGTTACCTTAAATTTTGTGCTCTCATATAGTCTATGGGAAGCTGTATTGATTAGTTAATAAAAATAAATCATTTTATAAGATTCTTCACAGTAATGTAAACTTTTTGATGTGTGGCTGTTATTTAATATATTGTGCTGTTTTCTCCCGTCCTTGTGAAAAGGATTATCTCAAAGGCTTTTGTTGTAAAACTCTGCGAGTTTCTTAGACGTGCAGCTCTGCACAATATTTTGGGACTGATCTGTAATCACCAGTGAGATCTTGCTGTACCTGGTTTGAATCACCAAGAGAAATATTCAGAACCATATCTGGAGTCATCTTAGCACTTTCATCAACTGCAGCCTTGCAAACATAGACCTGTGTCAAAACATTTAGATCACACCGAACTCATGGTCCTACCAAATGATACATGAAATTAACTCTAAAACCCAGAAAAGCTCTATGTTAAAGTAAGGATTATTATTTATTATCATAGGCACCTGCCTCAAATTACAGTTAGTATAAGTCACAAGTAAACATCTATTACTGTTATGAAATTAGAAATTATCCCTGTGCAGATTGACTGCTATGTCGGGAGTGTAAGATTCAGTTAAGAGTTGTAGCAGATGAAAACATTGATGCAGTTAACTACCACTAGATGTCCTTAGGATGCTTTGCAAGTAGAATATGGCATAAACAACAGTTGGCTCGTTCTGTTTCAGCATTGATTCATTCTTTCTCGTTTCCTTGGATGTCAGTACATGCTGTTAACATGGTGTAGCTTAACACATCTAAGCTATATCCTGCAACATATCCAAAATTATTTACACGATTGAGCAGCACATCATTTTGCATCCTAAGCACTGTGTTGCCAAACTCTCATTGCTGCTGCCACCTAATGAATGGGGCAGAGTCCTTGGTCTGAGGGTGTTGCATATTTTCTAAGCAAGGGTTGAAGCGGCGACAGGATATGCAAAATCCATTTGATCAGTTCAAGGCATTGGACAGGTCAGACTGCCTACAGTCCAGCCTGTGGTTTGACTACCAGTACCCCTGCAATATTATCACATGACTTATCAGCCTCAATTGAAGATAAACCCAGATAATGCGAAGTATGTTGAGAATTTACGAATGATGTCCTCGTGGAGGGGCGTTACCCTGGCTAACCTGCCATTCCAGTAAAACACACAGAACCTTCTTTGCATCTCAGTATAAATAACAAGAACAGCAATGATATAATCTCTGATCTGTGAAGATTTCTAAAGTCGCTAAACAAATACATTTTACTGAATGTTTTGTTGTTGGCTTTAATAGGACCTGGCGTTGTGGAGCTTGGGGTGTTTCAGGAATCAACGGAGCCTGGAAAGTCTGGGCTGACTAATTGTGCAGTGTATCCTGTGAGCTGCATTTTTCTAGGGTCAGATAGCTCCCAATTGCACCTCGCCCTTCTCTGGGCTACTCCAAAGTGCCGGCCTGCGTTAAAGTGAATGAATGAGGATAATAGCATTGCCAGAGTGCCCGAGGTGGGAAGATACGAGCGCCCAGAGATGCTTGCCAATCCCGTGTTGCTGGATCCACACGTCACTGAGAGTTCCATCGCAGTCCCACATCAGGACCCATTTCCTGTCTTGTGGGATGGTCAACTGAACCTTGCACATTCTGACGATGCTCTAGCACTCTTGTCCTGGAGAGGGGAACCACTGTACCACCTGCCCTTCCCACAGCCCCTTGTTGCTGACCTCCATCCATTCAGGAGTCCTGAAGTCTAGAAGGCTTGACAAGCGCTATATCAAAAGCAAGGATTATTATTAAAATCCCTTTTAATTTTCTCTCACAAAATATACAGTCAATTCACTTTATAGTGTATTCTGTAAAGTGTTTTGAGAGGTCACGAAGACATGATAAGATGCTATATCAAATGCAAGTATTATTATAATAATAATAATTCCAGATACTGTAGTAGCAGCTGTAGACCTGGCATGATGAATTTATTAAATCACATGAAGATGGTCATTTAATCATTAATATTTTTCAAGCAGTTATTTGAAATTTGATAAATCAAAGCAAATCTGTTGTACTGACTGGGAGACTGTGAATTCTGCTTGTACATGCATAGTTTACTAATGCTTATTTATTATTTTCTTATACATTTTTCAAAGAAGAGGAAGTGGGTGGGTTAGTTTGGCTAGAAAATGATGTACCTATCAGACATGATAAGAATGCTGAATTGTAGTTTTTTGTAGTTATAATAATAATCCTTGCATTTGATATAGCGCTTTTCACGTTGGGAGGATGTCCCAAAGCGCTTCACAGAAGACACTGTAAAGTGAATTGACTGTATATTTGTGGGCGAATGCGGCAGCCAATTGCGCACAGCAATGTCCCACAAACAGTCGTAGATTGAAAATGACCAATTTATTATTGTTTTTGTTTTTTTGGAGGGATTATTATTAGGCTCTGTGTGGAGTAAGGAAACTTGCCCAAGGTTTCGCCCTCTGCCTGGAATTGAACTCAGGTCGCTCGCTTGCAAAGCGAGTGCTCTAACCACTGAGCTACAGGACTCCACAACAATAGTTGTGTTATTTTTGAATGAAACTCGTGTGGGGCGGAATAGGGAGTGCAAATAATACAATCAATTTTCATCCTGGACAAGAAACTCAACTCTTATTTCCAGATTCACCCCAATATGCAAAGGTATGTAGATGTCAGGAGAGGGTCCAACGAGACTCATCTATGGCACCCACCTTGTAGCTTCACACGAGGAATGACCACTTAAGCAAGTCACTGAGATCAGCTGCACCATTTAAATCCATGCATTCCTACTTTCAGCAAAGGAGTAAAGATAAAAAATTGGGGGAAGAGGGTAGAAAATAAGCCTTAGAGGAAGTGAGAATGCATTCAAATTATACCCATTGTGTCTTCATTGTGTGATAATTTAAGAGACCCTTGTCGGAGACTCACAGAAGATAGTGTGCACAAAAGATACACAGCTCATAACCCACAGGAATAGTTCAACCAGGCAGTTCAACTCATTTATTACAGTCATTACAGAAGATGTCACTGTCGTATACAAATATTATACAAACTTATTGGTGCACCATTTTTACACCACTACCAAATATGTCTGGAACTGGATTGCAAGCAAGTTCAGAGAGAGGAAACTCATAGAGGATACAATACTTTCAGGATGTGTGATTCCAGCTGGTATAAAGCAGTGAATGTAAGACTACACTGCAGGTACAGAACCCAGAAGATGTTATTGATGCCATGGGTTTAGGAACATCCGGGAAAAAACCTCAGAGCCTTAAATTCCTCCATGGCATCTGATGTCGGTTTTTGAATGCACATTGTGCTGTTACTTAGAGCACCTCTGAGTTCCTCAGTAGTTTAATTGCAGGATTGGTAGTGAAAACAAATCTTGATTAATGCCTCCAGAAGTGTACATGAAAGGGGGAAATCATTTAATGTTTTGTAGTGAACTAGCAGGTAATGGATCATGGAATATATATCATATGTAAATAAACCAACCAGCTCGCTGAGTTCAAACAACTGCGCTTTACAACTAAGCTTTTCAAGATGTAAAGTGATATTCCCTGCATCCGCCTCTTAAGAAACAAAAACACTGCAGGAATATAACGTCTAAGGTTTCAAGTGTTATGAGGAATATGAAATGGCAGTCACACAAAAGTTTAAGAATTTTTCATTGCTCTTAATAAAAATAACCTGGAGATGGTTTGTAAGCTGTCTCTTACTCTGCCACATCTATATGCCAAACACAGTCACTTCTACCCTATAGACCTAATCCTGTGGAGATTGAATAAATTTTGAACAATAGGAATGCTTGTTTCAATATCCCCAGATTTCACTAACATCCAACTTTGTGAAATAGTGTTTTTTCCTCTCCTGTGGTGCCAGGATATAATCTTTAGCAGTTTGCCTTCGTGTGAATAGAGGCAAAGGCTTCTCTCTGGAATACTGAATGCATATGTGCTTCAAAAGCGCCTTGTTTTTCGGATTCAAGCAGGCAGCTTCAAGATCAAGATAGCTGATCTACACCATCTCCAAGAAAGTTTTGCACTGTGAAGGTCAAACCCATATACTCATTCATCGCTTTGAAGATCAAGGAGTAGTTCATCATGTCACATCAACCAGACCGTGAAGTCCTGTAGTTTAGTGGTTAGGCTCTATATCAAATGCAAGAATTATTGTTATCAATAAATATTTTTGATAAGCAGGACTACATTTAGATGACTATATTTACATATAGACTATAACCACCGAATGTCATTTGGCACCAGAGCGGTGGGTGAGACACAAGTTCACCTGCTTCCTCCATAACACTGAGTTGCCGCTATCCTTTCTGAAGGGCACTGTATAATTGCAAATTGTGATTGTTGCTGAGTTCCTGATCTCAGCTGTGAAAAAAAACAGGAGTCCTGTAGCTCAGTGGTTAGAGCACTCGCTTTGTAAGCGAGAGACCTGAGTTCAATTTCAGGCAGGACGAAACCTTGGGCAAGTTTCCTTACTCCACACAGAGCCTAATAATAATCCCTCCAAAAACCCAAAACAATAATAAATTGGTCATTTTCAATCTACGACTGTTTGTGGGACATTGCAGTGCGCAATTGGCTGCCGCGTTCGCCCACAAATATACAGTCAATTCACTTTACAGTGTGTTCTGTGAAGCGCTTTGGGACGTCCTCCCGACGTGAAAAGCACTATGCAAATGCAAGGATTATTATTATTATTAAATGCTGTCCACAGTCAATTTAGGGAAAGGTTAGATTAAACTTGTGTTTTTTATGTGTCCCTGAAGTCATTGCTCAGCAAGCACAAAATGTAAAGGTCCTATGGGAGGCATAGAGTGAGCAATATGTTCTAACGTTACACTATTTTAGCTGAAAATAATGAGAGATTACAGGGGATCCACAGATTTGCTGTGAAAGAGGGAGGTGGCAAACAGTATCACACAGTAGCCAATATCATTTGTACTTGGTTTCCAGGTGAGAGCACTCTGAAGGGATTTGTGCAGTGGGGCAAGCAAATGGCATAATTGTTTTCCCTTAACCCTCCTCTCTATGATTTACACTGAGGTACAGCACTACAAGCTGTGGCAGTGCTCC